ACCTTTCTTCACTTTTGAACCGACGACCCTAGAAGAACTGTTCCCACCCAGCTTTCCAGGAGCCAATAAAAAATAAACCTACAGAAAAACAGATTTTTCTATATTTAATTAAGACTTAAATTTAATAGCATAGGTACCTAATTTAATTCAAATAAATATAATAATAGTATTAAATACGTAGAATTTATACCTAAAGAAAATGTGAATTTTTAAATAAATACACAATGTTAAGATAATTGTGTTAAATTGATCACAATAAGTGAAAAAAACATTCTATACACATATATCTATAAAATTGCAAGAAGGGTACTTACAAATATTTATAGTTATAGTTAATGTATAGATGTTTTAAATTAATGAAAACGGCATCTTAGATGTGGAATATATTAGGTATATATTACTTCTGAACATAATACATTTATAACTTAATTTTAGAATTAAATACCCATATAATATATATATGGGTATTTAGTATTCTAAACGAAATTAGTTTTACATTATATTTGAGGAAGGGGGAGGAATAAATAGAATATTTATTAATAATAAAAAGCATAAGAATAGGTTTATAATATGTAGATTGTAGGTACATAATTATTTTAAATAATTAAAACTTCATAATTAATGGAGTTTCAGCAATGGTTTTGGTCAATTTAGTATAAAAAAAATATTAATAATAAACAAAAAGGTGGAGTATTACTGTATTGTCAAAACTCCACAAGTATACAGCTGTAATATAAGTACCAAGATACTTTTAGACCGAAATACTTGAATATTACTATTATGACCACTATAGACATTATGGAATATTGCTGGATTCTCAAATTATGGCATGCTGGCCACATCTAGCCTAAGGACCAATTTTTACTGTCCCACTAACTGCAGTGATCCAAAACTGAACTATTAAGAAGACGTTGCACCTGCATGTGTCTCTCCGTCTTACAAATGTACAATATAGCAAAAACTGTTTTGCATTGGAAAGAAACAAGAACGCTACAGTCATAACTAAGAAACAAAATTTTCACCACATAAAAAGGAAAACTTTGGCTGTGTAATATTGTTTTTATTTTTTCGTTATTGGAAATTCAAAAAAAGTTATTATTAAAGTTTGAAAAACACAAATAAAAATGGATTTTCAAACAATAAGAATTTTTTTCATGCAAGAGATATCAAAAAATAAAAACGATATTGCACAGCCAAAGTTCTCCTTTATATGTGGTGAACATTTTGTTTCTTAGTTATGACTGTAGCCTTCTCAGTTCTTTTCTCACGTTTTTGCTATGCCATATTTGTGTAAGACGAAGACAAACAGATGCAGGTGTGATATCTCTTAATATTAGCGTATTTGTATGAAATATAATATACAAATTATAGAAAATAAAAATAAACTACAAAACAGACAAGTTCAAGTAAAATACAGTACATTAAATTTTATTTCTCTTCAACACTTATTGATTATGTCCAATGCAATTTTATATTCTATAAAAATTATACTGTAAATATGATTATATTATATGATTGAGCACGTAAGGAGCAATTTATTTTTATATGGCCCTAGAGTAAGTAGGTAGTGTAAATATTTTGCATATTCAGCAATCTTATTTGTTTTGAAAAACAATATACATATCTTTAGGTACTAGTCAATTGTATTACATATTATGATCATTGTTATTTTTATCTTAAGCCTACTAAATTTTTTATACCTATATAAAAGCTATTTACCATTTATTAAGTAAATTAAAAATTGAAATTTATTTCATCCTGTTAAAAATAATTAGAATGTCAGAGGTAACCTACCTTATTACTGAAAATAATGAATAGGTACTCAAAGTTGTCTGTATTGAATATTGTGTAAAGCCAATGCAGTATTAGAACAACAAAGGAGGGTGTAGGGCGTAACATTTTTGTTGTTAGTATTATAAAAGTTTAAAAACATTAACTAAAATATATATACCTACCACATAAAAAGTAAATACTTATCTAATTATAACAAAAAATGGTATATTTAAAAATATTTCATAATTGTGTTTTATAATCTAGTTGTAGTGTTAAATATAGGTAATTTTTTTCAAGAATAATCAAGAATAATACAGACATTATTATGAACCAAACCAAGGGTCCAGGGGGTCTGAAATTTCTTCAATATGTCTTATTTTTAACCAAATATCAAAACCTAAATTTAATAAAATTACAATAGGTATACATGTTTTAGAACCACCGCCCTTCAAGAAAAAAAATTCTGGATCGGCCTTGTTATGAACTATTTATTATTTTTATAATTATAACTTGGTACACGAACAATCCGTCCCCGTCAATCATTAAGTTGGACATTTAGCTTCCAGGAGTTATAAGATGTTATTACTTATTTAGCAATAGTTTACTTATATTATTTAAAAATTAAATTTGGTGATAAAAATTACATTGTAGGTAATAATATATTTTATTAATATAAATTATACTGACATTTTACGTTTTATAAAAAGAATTGAAATTTTAAAATTAAAAAAAAAAATAGAGATTTAAATTTGGTGATTTACAATACCGAGGGACCAAACGACATATCTTAATAATTAATGAGGCAAAACGTCCGTAGACTGTTTTTTTTTTTTTTGATGGAGACAAATCGTCAGAGATTAATTTTCCTTGTCTCTAATTATATAGAAAGTATTCAGTAATTCATTCAAGTTTCCTGGCTAAAGTTTGGAATATTATTTTTAAGTTGCTCTCCAATAACTACCTAAAATTTTTTAATTTTTTTCACTTTTAGACTTTTGTAAAATTAAAATATTTCAACAAACTACCAAGCAAAAGTTCATTAAAAACCAATATATTTGTTTTGAGAAAAATGCAGTTTTGTTTTTAGTATCTATTTATTATTTGTTAGTCTATTTGATTTAGTATAAAACATTTTCAGCTTTATAGTTTTTTAGACAAAAGACAGGAATGCAATGAAACATCAATTTAAAAGTATTATTTGCTTATTATACGGATAAAAGTAACTTTTATGTTATTACTTAGCAATATAAGCTGTTTAAACTTTTATTTACCAAGCATAAACACTGAAAGTAAATTTTACTAATATAATACTGACAAATAATAATCAGAACAAAAGTCACATTATTATTTTATCTTAACATATTGACCATAATAAAATAATACTTTCCAAATAATAATGAAGATAACAATTTAGAAACTATTAATATAAATGTTAGGTAATAGAACATAGAAGTGTTATGCGAAAAAGTCATATCTATAAACATAATTAGGGTGTTTATGCTTAGTAAGTGTAAGATGCACCATTCTTACTTGGTACTTCTAATTTTTTTGTTACCTACAGCGTTTTCAAAGAATGATATTTGAGTTTATAGCCTATTTAATGTAATTTCTGGGATATTTTTTATACAAACATTGTGTAAAACTGATAAACCTATCAGATGCTGCCATATCTAACTCATTTTAAAGTTATTTTCGAGTTACGGCCCTCTTTCTTAGCAGGGTAGAATAGGTATAATTGTTAAGTCATAATTTATCAACGATACCTGTGTAACATTATACACTTAGATACCAACTATTCTTCGTATTATTTATAATTTTTGATAAATTGTCTATACTGTAGGTAGTAAATTTATATTATATCATGTTAAAAGTTAGAAGGAGAACATTGTATTAGTTATTGTCGGTTATTGTATTCAATTATATTCACTTGTAAAGAGTTTAATATAGGTAAGAGTTCCTATTAAAAGAGAAAATTGTTGCATTAATTTATTAAAATATAATTAAACAATGTCTCATTATTCTATTCTTTTAATCAGAGATCCTTATTTTACCTATATTAATTTTTAACATTCTTATATTATTTTACATTCTTTAATGAGTAGTAGTAGTACAATGATATACTATGATAAAGGTCGTTAAGAAAATATTTTGATGAGTATTTAAATGATTGCACATTTCAAATGTTAAGTACCTACCTATGACAGAGTAAAACAAAAAAATAAAAATATACTCAGGTACTTGTTGAAAAATAACTACATAAAATAAATAATTAAAAAATAATAATTATAAATATTCATATTATTTGACACATTATTTTTATCTACCGTCTTATCTAAATGTTTCTAGGTAGATTGTTGACAATTATTACTTCCTAATGCAATGGTAACTCAAATGTGAAATAATTTCTCATTGAGTTATTAAATGTACATATTATTACCTAATAAAATTAGTATAAGAAATAGTAAATTAGTAGTAAGTTAAACTACAAAGTTAAAATATGCTACCATAAAGGATGCTGTTATCTCATTCTCATTAGATAAAAAATTTAATTTTTTAACTTTACGTACTTCATTTAGTCTCCATAAATAAAAACAAAGAATATATCAATAACTAATAAGGAATGCCCAATGTACATTGATACTCCTGTAGCTACGTTCAAAGTCAGAATAGTAACACCGCTCCAGAAACATAGGATTCTATCTTTAGGACACAGAACATGTCTAACGTACCGAATGTTATTCGACGTTGACGTGCTGTCCATTGATCGCCAATGCGAATAGATGCGAGACAATATTAAAATGTCAAAATGATTCGTTACTACTGATCGATTCGTCCGTCGATCCATCGTGCAATTTGGTTGACATACATGTATCACGAACACGAAACCGTAACAACGATAGTATTAGTACTACCTAACAATAATATTTATTAAACCGAACTGGCGAGCGATCGGTATCGCAGAAAACATAGTCAGTAGTCAGTGTCACTCACGATCGCAAGCGCGCGCACGCACGCGACGTCATTGTTGTCGTTATTTGCCGAAAAAATAATCATAATACGAACAGGTACCACCGTAGAATAATTAAGAATAAATAATTATCGACGCGAACGACGTTTTTTTACTTACAGGTTGCTGTTGTTGTGCGTCGATCTGTACATTAAACGAAAATAATATGCAGACTTTTATCGGGGGTGGTAGACGGTGTTTGTCACTACCGAGTGCGAAGATGGCATCCGACGGCGGAAGGTGCGTCGCGCGTCCGCGGTTGCAGCAGTGGTCGTATTCTTTGTCGTTGCTGTTGGCGCAGCGGTCGTACTACCACGGACGGTTCGTGTTGCGGGCGACTGACCGTCGTGAACGTTACCTTCATCACACGCGAAAACCCGCGGTACCGTCGTCCCCTTTCGGCCTCCGACGCTCGGTTTGTGTTTTCCGCGAGTGTCTTGAGAATACCGCGGTCGTGGTCGTCGTCGTCGTCGCCGCCGCCACTGTCGTTATCGCCGTTGTCGTCACTGCTGCGGTGATGGCACGCTTCGTAGTCGTTGGTTCCGGCGGCGGCTGCTGATGCTTCTGTGATGACGGACGGACGCGGAACCAGTACTGGAAAACTGCAGTCGCGACCAATCGCAGACGCCGTTCATATTATTATTACTATTATTGTTATTACTATTATTATTATCACCAAAACAACAATAACGGAGAAGAGAGAACAAACAAATGGAACGAAACAAAAAAATAAAATCTAAAAAAACTCACTACGAGAAGATTATTACGACACGAGACGCATATTATTGTTTATTATTATAATTAATATTATAATAGACACGCGATAATGTACACAAAAATATTATTTTATAATTCTGTTGTTACATGTACGCATTCGATTTATAGTGTACGTGTATATACATAATAATATTATAATATGTGGATAATAATATAACTTATAAGTATATATGTATACTGATTTATATGTATTTATATAATTATATATGTGCGGGACGCAGGTATGTGTACATATATAATATATATTATGTATATATATGAAGTATAAACAAAGTATATGCACGGTACCGTTCACGCACACGCACAGGCAAATACACGTCACACACGCACACGCACTCAAACGCTCACGCACACACACTCACACACGCGCGCGCGGGACAGGCGTTAACGTACAGGAACGCGCACACAGCCACACGGAATCAATCGTTTGATTAGTAGTAGTGGTAGTCGCCACTCGCCAGACAGAAACGAAACGGGGTGAAAGAGAAAAAAGTAGTGTGGGAAAAAAAACAGCACCCACCGTTCGCCGATCGACCGATGCGACCGTTCGCCCGTGCGTCGGGATACGGGCGCCCGGAACGTTCCGTCGGCCGTTGCGCACCGCTCGCCGCCCCGGCCGCCTTCCCACCGACGCTCAAAGCCGATGGAGTCGTTACGCGTCCGTCGGAAAGTGCTCCCCGCCCGCCTATCGGTCGTCGGTACCACTGTCGTCCGCCAGGTGTCACGGTGTGTGCGTCCACTCGCCCGCCGGAGACGCGCATGTACAAAAATTGCGGCTTTGTACCGAATAACATTATTATTATTATTATTGTTATTATTATTATTACTATTATTATTACTATTATTATTATTATTATTTATTATCATCACCAATACGTGTAATAATATTGTTCTGAGGTAATGGGTTAGACATTAGTCCATAGAAGTCAGATAAAATACATCAGAGTCATCGGGTCATTGATATTGCTATCCAAAAATAAACCTACCTACTTACTTAATTTAATATAATATTTTATTTAATATAATTTAAGCTACCTCTATAATTACAATAAATGTATAGTGTTGTACCTATGCGATATACTGCCACGTTTAAGCTTGGTAATAACATTAATAATTTTTCTATTTTATTAATAATATAATGTTCCTACTATAGCTGGTAATCTTATATTGTAAGTGTAACACAGTTGAACATAGGCCATAGCCCACGTCTAGAAACAAAGTTTTCGTCGACAATAATAATATAGCTGTTATATAATAAGATATACCTAAGTACATAGGTACCTATTACTATAGTAGTTTTTGCAAAAAAATCACATCATGCAATAAAAGTTATAAAGATAAAAGTGGATACGTAATTATTACGCTAACGAAGCTTGTATCAATAATTGTGTAGGTAAAGTAAAAAAACTAACAACATAATTAATCCTCGTAGATCCATACCTATCTAATCTTAGAATATTTAATTTATTTATTTACGTCGAAAATACTTCCCAAATTTAAGAATTTAATCATTTTGAAAAGTTACATAACAAAATTAAAAAAAAAGTAATGAGTTGAATTTATTGTTCTATTTTTTTCCTTATAGAATGCCGGTTAACTACTACCTAGAATCTAGATAAAAGTATAAAAGATACTCTTTTACTTTACATATCCCTAGCCTATAACGGTTGTGTGATAGTTATCGTAATAGTTACAATATTGCAACTAGACAAGGCTATAGGATTTGCAATTATATAATTCATCAATATAGACGGATTGTATATTTGTATTGTTGCAATAAATTATAATTAATATTTATGCATATAAATGTTTACGTAGTAGGTATAGTAGATATAAAATTCTAAAAAGTAATTATATTATAAATTGCAATTTCTCTGTCATAAAAAAATGTTATTTATATTATGTAGCCTACATAATATAAATAATATAGGCATATTTTAGGTACAATAATTGCGAAGTTTGAAACTCTCCGACCCACACTCAACATAGACAAAATTAATTTACGCAAATATTTTTTTATGTTTTTGAGTAATCTTATAGAAAAATCAATTATCACAACAATTATAGAGAATAATATTTTTGAGGCCATATCGTATAAATTTGTATAAATATTGCCTCATACTCTCATTACAATTTAAATGTAAATCATTTATTTTTTATTTTTACAGTCACATAGGTCGATAATAGTCAAATAATAATACAATTTAAAACCAATATGTCAAACTCTCAAATATTTTATCCTCTATAATTTTTGTAACAGATGAATTTACTCCATGAATCATGATTAATAAAAAATAATAATAATGATTTTAGATTAATGGTTCGATTACTATGTTGGGTCAGCCCGTCCGAGAGAGAAAACTAATATATTGCACTGCAACTACTAACTAGTATAAGAGAATGCAATAGAAAAAAGCATATTTGGTCACCATAACCCATATGTATTCGGAGTATGAATAAAATATTACCTAGTTATTCATATAATTAAAAACCAAATAATTTTTATAAAATGTATTAAAATATAAAGATTTATGAGAAATTATTTATTTATTTTCAAAATTAATTTATGTATATTTAAAATTATGAATTCTAAAAAAACAAATTTTAATAATAAACAAAACAGTTTTATATTTTTTTTTTTTGATTTCTTATTTACACAATAACCTACAAACGTGGAGAATCTTGTTTTAAATATTCAATCCTAAGCTATAAAAGTTGAACATTTTATAAATTTTTAACTACAAAATCATTTTTTTTTTTTTATAAATTTTGATGAAATTCGAACTTTAAATGCTTATAAAACAAAAATAGCACCCATATATTTTTAATATTTTTCAACTTCTATTGTAACAATATATCAGAAACCTTGTATTTAATTTTAAAATTTTGTTGTAATTCAAAAACGAATAACTGTAGATACATGAAAATTTCACTGAACGTTTATAATAGCATTTCATATACACCATATAATTTTGAAAATATTTTGATCCATTTTGAGCTCTTTACGGACAATTTCAATTTCAAATTAAAGTTTTTAAGTTTTTTTTTTGGGCCAAAAAGTGTAAAAATTTAATACAAGGCTCCTGATATATTATATTAGTATTTTCTATACACGATAACATTTTCCAAATATTTTGACTTATTTTGAGCTTTTTAAGGACATTGTTAGTTTCCATTTATTTTAGTTTTTTTTCTATAAATATTAATAACATTTTATTTGTTGGTTAAAAAGCTTGAAAATTTAATAGAAGGCTCCTATTATATTGTTTCAAATGCAGATGAAAAAAATTAAAAATCTAATGCCACGATTTTTTTTATAAGCATTTAAAATTCAAATATCGATAAAATACGTAGAAATGACGAAAATATGCAAATTATTTTGAGTTAGAAATTCATAACATTTTTTCTTTTTATATCTAAGATTTGAAAATGTAATACAAGTTTATTCATAAGTATGTCTATCTTTATCAAAAAAAAAAGCGATTTTTTTTATTTTATTGTTATTCAAAAACGAATAACTGTAAATACATGAAAATTATACTGAATGTATATATTTTCATTTTCTATACATCATACAATTTTGAAAATATACTCTTTTTTGAGATGTTTACGGATATTATCAGTTTTTAATTTTTTTAGTTTTTTTTTCTATAAATATCAATAAAAAGGTGGGTAAGTAGATGTCGCTCTGCTGTACAGTAGGTTACAAGTGGGTCACTGTATAATGGATGCTATTAAATTTGAATTCAATGATACAATATCATTGCATAAGAAATACGATTCTGAGCGAAGACGGTATGTCAGTCTAGGTTTAAGACAAATTATATACATATCTATGGTATTAAAAAAAATTGACCTATAATAAATTCCAAATTAATCATATCACATTATCACAATATCCATTAGGTACTTATAAAACGTTATACATCAACATCAATAACAAACCCTGATACTATCATAGATATATAATAGTACACTTTAGAAGTTTCAAGTAGGTACAAACGAATAATATTATATAATAAATATATATAATAATATATATAAATATTATATAATTATACAAAATAACTAGGTTTTTTAATATGTAATTTCGTCCAAATTTGAACATAAAATGACTATAAAAATAAACTGTGATTGTATATTTTTTAAATTTTTTGGTAAGAGAATTAACTACTTACGTGGAATCTTGTTTTAAATTTTCAATCCTTAGCTATAAAAACTGAACATTTTATAATTTATTAATTACGATGATTAATAATTTTCGAGATTTAGAAAAATTCTATCAAAATTCGATGTTTAAATGCTTATAAAAAAAAATTGTGACTTTGTATTATTAATATCTTTCAACTGATATTGTAACAATATATCAGGAGCCTTGTATTAAATTTTTACACTTTTTGGCCCAACAGATAAAAATTAATTCATATTTATAGAAAAAAAACTAAAAAAAATTGAAAAATGAATATATCCGTAAACAACTCAAAAAGAGTCAAAATATTTTCAAAATTTTATGGTGTATAGAAAATGCTAATTTAAACATTCAGTGAAATTTGCATGTATCTACAGTTATTCGTTTTTGAATTACAACAAAATAAGGAAATCGCTACATGAGAAATCGAGTGAATATCCAATGTTGTAAAAATTTGAATTTCAAACGCTCATAAAAATTTAATTTGACTGTCCCGTAGAGATTTTTTTATTGATAAAGGTATACAAACTTATGGGTAATCTTGTATTACATTTTCAAATTTTAGATTTAAAAAGAAAAATTTTTACGAATTCTTAACTCAAAATAATTTTCTAATTTTCTTGATTTTTCCATATTTTGTCAATTTCTGAACTTTAAATGCTTATAAAAAAAAACTGTGACTAACGATTTTTAATATTTTTCATCTGCCTTTGAAACAATATACTAGGAGCCTTCTATTAAATTTTCAAGTTTTTTTAACCAACAAATAAAATTTTATTGATAATTCTAGAAAAAAAACTAAAAAAAAATGAAAAATTAAAATGTCCATAAACAGTTCAAAATAAATTAAAATATTTTGAAAATGTTATCGTGTTTAGAAAATGCAAATATAAACAACCAGTGAAAATTTCATGTATATACGGTCATTTGTTTAAAGTTACACCAATAACCAAATTCAATTTTCTGAAAAATCGATTTTGGGTAAAAATTCCTGTTTTTCCTTAATTTTTCTTTTGTTTTTCTTGGCGCTTTTGAAAAGTACTGGTAATTTTCAATTTTGACCTCCCCAATGCACCAACGATATTCACTTTCCAATCGAACAAGATACTGAAGTCGAAAATCGAAGCATTATTTCGACTACTTATCGTGTACACAGACACAAAAAAAATTAAAAAACACACTTCATTGTAAAATCAATACATTCATCGTTTCACTCAGAATCTAAAATTTATTTGTTGAGTAAAAAAGCATTTTGAAGCATTAGCAATTGAAAAATATTAAAAATACATAGTCACCCAAAATTCTAAAAAATAAATAAACACAGTTATTTTTATAGACATTTTAAATTCAAATTTGGACGAAATTACATAATAAAAAACCTAGAATAACTATTTTAGTTATTTTGTTGTGAATGTATAATATTATTCGTGGGTACTTGAAACTTCTAAAGTATATATATTTTATCTATGATAGTGTCACGGTTTGTTGTTGATGTATAACTCGTTATATTTACCTAATGGATATTGTGATATGATTAATTTGGAATTTATTAAAGGTAAATTTTTTTAATACCATAGATATAAGTATTAAGTATATAATATGTCTTAACTGACATACGGTCTCCTCTCAGAATCGTTTTTCTTATACAATAATATTATATCATTGAATTCAAAATTAATACCATCCATTATACTGTGACCCACCTATACCCCACTGTACAGCAGAGCATCTTTTTTTAAAAATTTTAAATTATATTAAATATAGGTACGAAGTGTTCCTTATATCTTGAACTTATTACTTAGAAAAATTTTACTTTTTATAAAATATTTTTTCCACATTTCTACATTTTTTTTATTGTTATATTTTTTTAAGTTTTCTTAATATTATTTCATTTAGTTCTTTTTATCGTAGGTATTTTTTACCGGATTTCAAATTTATAAATTTTAACAATAGGTATTTATCTGCAAGATTGTTAAGTATTTTAGTGAAAATATTAAAATTTAAAACACTATTATATTGTACTTAAAATGAAAAGTATTTTCATACTCGTACTTATCTATATTTTAAATTCAATTAATTTTTATTAAATTGTTTACCTAGCTATAATCGATTTAGTTTGAATTATCAATATTATATATTTTCTACTAGGAAATAAAATCATTAAAATCTTAAAATATATAACTTGACATAGTAATAACTGTCCTTCTGAAATAAACATAATTGTCGATATTACTGTTGTAGTTTATATAATATTGTGACTTGAATTTAAATAATGTAATTATCGACTACCTATCGCATAGGTACCTATTTGTTTTGTGTACGTTATTACGCTTGGGTAACGAGTATAATGTATATTGTTTATATTTATGGATGAAATATAAAAACAAATTAATAAGTATAATATTATAATATACAATGTTATTATGGGTACACTGTTTTCGTGAATTCTGACTCCTGACTATAGTGGCTACTAAGTATTCGTGACTGCACTGATTCACTGAGAATTGAAACTTTCAGTTTAATATTTATATTTTATAGAACTACCTAGGTGGTATTTATCATTTATATATTAGTATATTTCATACATAAGTATCATCATATATATTTCTATACTGTAAATTATAATTTATATACCAAATTGTTCGTTCCTTTCACAGCTTTGTCACTCTTATAATTTGAAATAAGGGGCAATATTAAGGCAATATACAATTTTGTCACCGCTGCCAATAGCATTTGTTATTGTCGTAATTAAGTGATTATTATTATTAGTGTGTGTGGTTAGGTTAGGTCGTTTAACATTTCTATGTTAAGTATTACAAAATTAAAGATAAGATAATACTATCCTGGAGAGGGGAGTTATATGGAAGCAAGATATGGACATTAAATAAGAGAGAGAAATACATGTTAAAAGTTTTAGAAATATAGTGTTGGATAAAGATGCAGGGAAGAAGTTGGACTGAAAGAACAAATGATATTGTCTTACAGATTATAAAAGAAAAGCGATTATTGATAGACACCCTAAAGAAAACTTCTCACTCTTACTCTAAATATGCGGTGAATGACAGGAAACAATTGGTGGTTGACTTATCACTTCTAATGATTAAATGAAAATATTTTTCCAACATGTAGAGTGTGTGACTGTAAGTACTAAAATTAATATGTAGAATAGACTGTAGTGCCACGCAATAAGTGAAGCAGTACATCTGAGTCCATACTTTTATGAAATGTCGAAGCATTGTTATCAAAATTCATAATAATAAAGTGTTACAAAAGAAAAGATAATAGACTGTATCTATCAAAAATCATAAGTCCATGCAAAAGCCTACTGGCTGCAGCGCCTATAGCAGATGACAACAACCGTAGAACGCGTTTACGCTATACCGCCTATACCTAATATAATATGACAGCCATAAGATACCCAGAGGTATTCAAACTTTTTCCCTCCACGGCTCCTTTATGTGTTTACAATATTCTTACGGCTCCCAAACTATTATACAAAAATTGAAACAACACGGATACAATATAGCCAATATGGGTAATAAATAATAATATCAGTAACTTTAGTAGTAGAAATAATTAAACTTCAAATAGTGACAATTAGTGAAAACATTTTATTTTCTAGGTTCATTTCATTATTTTAAAAATAAGTTTATATATAAGTTTGTATTAGTTTCATACATGCTTCATAATATTGAATTTTAAAATTACAAAGGTATACATTTAATCTCATCATCATTTTTTCTTGTGCATATTGATATTAATTGATGAAATTAAAATTGAATGCAAATAATCAAAATATTTTCAGTATTTTCAATTCAATAAGCCCCTATAGTAGTTATAAATACAACAAAATTAATATTAACATTACAAAAATAAAATTCAGATATACCAATTATTGGTATTAATTAATATTTATCTGTATGAGCATAACATATGAAACAATAATATTGGATGGTTACATTGATACTTTAATCTTAAATAATAAAAATAAAGAGTACATTAAAGGATGAGTTCCTATTTAACAAATATAGCAAAACGTTAATAATATTAATTACTGACAATTTAATAAAACAAGAAATATTTTATTATAAAAAAATATTAAGTAGGATAAATACATTATTTATAGTCAATATATATTATTAAATATAACATTATTACTTTTATTCTCATACTAAATCTATTTCTTTGATTGTTTCTGGAAGAGTTCAAAACATTCATCTCCTTCAAGTTCTAAGCTTTCCATTGTATCGTTTTTTTTAATTTTATCACCATCAAACTCTAATGTAAATGAGTCTATATCAAATCCCAACATTTCTGATAGTTTGATATACAAAATCAGCATTTTGTCAGTTTTTTTAATTTCCATAAAAATTGGTTTTTTTACATCTTTTTGCTTGATACAAAATTTGACTAAATCATCTTGTTTTTCTTCAACTTCTGGAACAACATCGGGTGTATCGTAAGGGCTCCTGTAAAATTCTATTTCACCATCTAAAAATTAAAACATTAGAGCAATCATTATTCAACTTGTTAAATAAAAATAAAGACTTAAAAAATATTAGCTATTATTATTTAAGTTTTAAAAGCTGAGCGTTAATACTTTTAGAGAATATTACAGAGCAGTGGTTTTCCAACTTTTTAGGACGGTGACCCAATTTTATCCCCAAAAATCTATAGCGAACCACATGGTTTATTATCAAGATAAAAATTAGTTCTAAAAACAAAATTTGAGTACCTAGGTGCTATTATTATAACTTCCTACTTTATTAATTTATAAATTATAATGAATATAATATTGGTAGGTTTATAATGAATACATTTTCTAGAATCTATATAATTCAAAAAATTTCTCGCGACCCACAGAAACGTTGCTATAGAGCTTAAGATACTTGTGAAATAAATTAAAAAAAACCCTTTGCAGATTTTTTAGGTCCAAATCAATTTAACTAAATGCCAACTATGACTAGTAAAAATATTCAGTGGCTTAATAAATGGAAAAAAAATTTTGTAACCTATGAAAAAATGAAGGAGCCGATATTACTATATTAAGAGGATATCAGCGCACTTTTTGTTTTCTCTCTCTGGCCCAAGAACAACATAGATAAAACCCATTAACGCAGAATCATTTTTTCTGTTTTTAAGTAATCTTATAGTAAAATCACCCATTACAAAAAAGATAGAGAATATTTTTGAGGGAATGACATATCAATTTTATATTTTATTGTTATTTGACTTTGTATTCGACTTTCAAAAAAAAAAAACAAAAAAAAGTCGTTAATATAAATTATGTTTACTTATAATAAAGCTATGATGTAAAAAAATGAGCCCGGATGAGTCTAAAGATTGGGCCTTAGCATGTAATTCTGCACAGCAATTAACGGGTGTTACCACACTCTTTGAAAAATTGACGCAACTGCGTCAAAATAGAGCCCTTCAACCCACCACTGCTAATTGTTACAATAGTTTTTGTGATGTAATGTTTTTAACTATGATATTAACCCTAGAGCACACGCTTCACTGTCAAAAAGACCGGACTTTTAGAATTTTGTTCATTGTTTCAAAAATATGAAATATTAACCTAATCCAACCTAGGTACCTTCTAATTAGGTGATAAACTAAAATTAGATACAACTCCCAACTGTATACGATCTCATGTCAGTAATATAGAAGTGTTCAAGGTTCATTACTAGGCATTACGTATTAATATACGGTCAAAAAGACCGTGTGCGTGATCGTAAAAAATCAAGTATGGGTTATTTTTAAAACTATGTTTCTAATAATTGCTGCTCGATAAACGAAATTGATAGTCATTATATTTTCATTGTGGCTGGTTAGTTAACCATGATTTGCGCCATACTGTGTGTGACTAAAAAAACCGCGAGCGTGTATTCTTGTGAATATTTTAAATGCGTGTGATCTAGGGTTAAAAATACAAACAAAATAAAAAAAGCTAGATTTCACATTTTACTAAATTATCCAAATGCAAAAGTATGATTTGATTCAATATGACTAAATTTTTAAAACAAGATAATATTTGTTGTCATTTCAAAAAAAGAATAGAAATTTGTTTAGTATTATAATATTTATAATTAGTATGGTACCAAACTGGTCAATAATATTATTACTTTGAATTTAAATCAATAAGAAAATTAATTTGTTATTATCCTGCTAAAGTTAAAATACGCAAGATGTGAATCATAATTCATAAGTAATTTAATATTTTGTAATTCCATACATTTTTAAATAATTTAGTGACAACAGTATTGAATTTTGTTAGGATTAATGTAGAATCTGATATGTTTTATATAATGGTTTATTGACGTAATGATCGATAAGCATAACATATAGATTTTATCTTAATTGAATGAAATTTTTGACAACATTTTAAATGTTGACATCAGCAGTGACATCATCAGCAAGTTAAATAACTTAAAATTATAATATTACCAATGAAATCTACTATCTTATAGTTGATTGAATTTGGTGTATCTGTTGGTGAAAGAGTCTTTTTGTGTAGATCCAAACGAACATGTGAAGGCTCTATATCTTCTAATTTTGCAAAATGTTCGTAAATACTTGAAATTGACTGAAACTAATTTTTATAAATTAAATAAGCAAATGTATAAATAATAACCAATTGTCAAAAAAATATCCAACCATTCTAAGAGGAAAACGATATGTACGCATTTGTCGCCAATAGACTTTAACATTGATTTCACGATTTGCTATAGCTAAGGCATCTTCCACTTCAGCGTCTTCAATTTGTCTTTTTCTCCAATTCTAACAAATGTAGATATATATTATATAATGTTTAATAATACATTTATATAAAAAATATATTTTAAACTATGAATTTAAACTATGAACTTACTTCCATAATATTGTCAGCATCCTCCAACATTTTTTCAGTCTCTGTTTTTTCCTTAGATACTTTTGGCAATGGCATATTATAACCATCATCAAAATCTCCTATGCATATTACTGGTCCAATCACATTAGTAGATTCTTCAGTTGCAACATTTCTTCTTCTGAAGTAACCCATACAAAAATAATTAAATAGTATATTATTTCCATGATTAAATTATACATCATTTTAAATTTAAAAATGTACCCTCTTGGCTGGCGACGACCACGAGTACTAAGATTACTACCACGAGTACTACTAAGAGTACTACTACGAGTACTACTACGAGTACTACTACGAGTACTACTACGAGTACTACGACCATGGCTATTAGTACTTGCTGTAGAATTGACAGTAGTATTTACAACTGAACTATAAAATAATAATAAATATTATAATATAAAATACAATATTTTAAAAGCATTTATCATTATTTTATTTTTCAGGTAATTTAAATAAAGTATACAACTTACTTAGTTAATGCTTCAGACTGTGTAGAGGAACTTTTTGTTACATTTACAGAAGTTGTAGTCTGTGAACTATTAAAATTGATTATTATTATGTACAGTTCATAATATATAAAACAAAATCTAACATTACTTTATGGTACTATTGACGATTGATTGTTGTTTATCATTGGCAACTTTATTTTTCCTTTCCATTTCAAGTTCTAAAAATAGAACATAAAATTAATGAAAATGTAGGATATGATATCTTAGATTAACTAAAATATGATTTACAGTAAGCAATAAAAACAACCATCCCAACCAATATTTAAATTGAAGATAGTGTCTAAAAAAAAGTTGATTTTTAGGTTTGGACGATAGAGGGTTAACATTAAACTTAAAATATAAATAAAATCCTAATTAAATAAAATAATAATAAATGATGTGGCTTGGCGTGGCGCGCTGGCTGCTACCAGACTAGGAGTAAGTAAAGGCCACAGCTACTAGCTCCTGGATGGGTGACCACCCGGGTACATAGTAGATAAAAACCTTGCCACACACACGTGTTTGCTACCCACCGTAACAACCGTAAAACAATCCTAAAAACAACCTACCGTATCAACCTTACCCCTACCACAGTTCATAACCCCTACAACAGCTAATGGCCTTAGATGCCGGGCAAAAGTTAAAAAAAAAAAATTAATAATAATAATCAATAGAAACCAGTGAGGTGCCCTAAGTAATATTGTTATCTTAAAGTATGATGTAAAAATTGGTTCTGCGTAATGCAAATTTGCATTGTTGTAGGCTTATAAAACAAAAACAAAACATGGAAGTTTACAGTTCCTGGCACTAGCTGGTATTAAATATTCAATAATGTATTAAACCTAGTGTGCTTGAGTTTGGACTCTGCGTCTTCTTTTATAGAAACTAGTGTACAACACAAAGGTCTTCAGGTACATAAATATTTAGTAATAGGCACTTACTTTTATATTGCGCGACAAAATCGTAAGGGTTTTCATCTTCATCGGATAGATCCATTGTGTGATTGAAAAGCTGCAATCATTAATAGGTAGTTATTATATTTTGTAAATTATTGAACTTGTCGGTATCTGGTGAGTAAATAGTATTCCGTATAAATGGAAGGTTCATTAAGAGGACGCTAAACTCGCATATGTTGTCTCTGTCTTACAAATGTAAGTCATAGCAATAACGGTTTTGCATGGGTACCTAACAACTACTCAGGCTGTAATCCAAGTTAAGCAAAAAAATGTTCATACCAGAAAGAGGAGAACATTGACTGTGCAATGTTTTTTTTTAAAAATTTTTTCGATATCACAAGTACGTAAAGAGTTCTTATTGTTTGAAAATTCATTATAATTGAGTTTTACAAATTTGAATAACTTTTTTTTTAGATCTGAAACCGAAAAAATAAAAACAACGTTGCACAGTAAATTACCTCCTATTTATAGTGTAAAAATTTGGTAGGTTAGCTTGGACTACTTGTACTGTAACTACCCGAGTGGTTCTTACCCGTGCAAAACAGTTTTGGCATAAATTCACTTTAGCTACCAAGCACCTTTTTAATTTTTTTTTTTTTGAAATAGATGTACTTCGACGAGTTAAGAACGATGGTGCAAAAAAAAATTTGCGGAAACCATTATTTTGGAAGTTATAGACATCCAAAGTTTGCGATTTTACGTTTATATATACGTATGCGCCATGCGCGCAAGACTGTTTTAATGCTGCGCGAAGTAATTTGAGTTTGGCGAGCTGGTAGTTACCCTGTGACCAACTTGAGGTGGTGTTGCACAGCAAGTCGGGGGGATATTTTCGATTTGCGGAGCGGAGCAACGGCGCCGAGGAGCGTAGTGACAAGTTCCGCTAGCATGGCATCACTGTACGATGTTTTTTCAAATTGATGGCCCACTTGGGGTGGTGTTGCATAGCAAATCGAGGGATATTTTCGTTTTTAATTATCCGAGCGAGCGCAGCGAGCGAGTGACCCCCCTCGGTGCAACAAAAATTTAATATACTCATTAGCCTGTTGTCTACCTGTAAATAATTGAAAAACATCTTAATATAGGTTATTCTATTAACATAAAGATAATTTTATATAAATGCATAATAATAATAATATAAAATTGAGATAGTTATAAAATAGCGATATTGGTATAAATATAGAATTAAGACCAATTAAAATGTTTAATTATGGATAGTTAAATTACTGATTGATACAAAATAATATAATATACACTATGGTACCTAAATATTGTTTACCCAATTAAGCTTTAAAGAGGAAAGGAGGGGTATTGAAATAAAAACTTAGTTCCAAATATTAGATTCATAATATTTCCGAAACACTGTCTATGTGTACGACGTGTTGTGAACTAGTGAACTATAGTCTATTATAATATATTATACAGTAAATAACTACGCAAAATGATGATTATACCAGAAATTTGTTTATCTTTTATTTTAACATCCTAATTTAATATTTTAATGTGTTGTGGAAATAAGACGACTCGATGATTGTGCAAATTGTGATTGTATACAAAAGACACTCAAAATTAATTATGTTATGGACGTTGCGTGAGGCATTATAGTAGTTTTGCGCGCATGCGTATCAACGCAAAATCACAAACTTTGGATAGTTATAACTTCCAAAATAATGGTTTCAGAAAATTTTTTTTAAAATTTTAAAAAGGTGCTGGGTTGCTAAAGTGAATTTGTTCCAAATCGCTAGTGTGCCAGAAAGTAGTGACTGGTAGTGAGCGAGCGAATTTTATCGCTCAATGTAATTGGACAGGCCGTTACACGCTCACACACGGAAGACTTTGTTCGCCAACGACTAGTGCTCAATGTAATCGATGCTTAAGACGGAGACAACGCGTGCGGGTGTAGTAGCGTCCTCTTAGAAATGAAATACAATAAAAAACAATGTGTACTAACCTCCTACGGCTGCTTACTGACAATCGAGATGTATTTCCACCACACAAACGATCTTACTGTAACAACCTGCGTATCATTTTTTAATTTAATGTATTTAAACCGCACAAATTAATAACTCCCGGCACTCGGCGTTTGCGGTTCGCACAAATCAGCGTTAGCACAAAGCGAATACAAATGAACAAAGCGACTAGCGAGTAGTCGACGTTGAGAAAACGGCTGTACAAATATACAATTTCAAAACCTCAGATAACAACGAATGGCCTACTGCCGAGATCGAGACACCTTTTGCGGGCCGTCCCCCGCCCGCCAAGTTGGTCACACAACCGAATTCGTACAAAAAGATTATAAACATTTTGTCGCGGTAGGAGTTTTCGACCGACGAGTAAACTGAGCGTCCCAGAACGTATGAAAGAACAAAAACGTAATAACACTTCTATATTTCCGTTGTTGCAAATGTTTACTCTTTAAGCCGGGTTTTCACTATTCACCACGATTTAAGATTCTAACTTAAATCGTTCTATACACTTATGCGTGTACGTGGGTAGAAATAATTTGCTGTGATTGGTTGATTGGGATCAGTTACCACACGATTAACTACGAATTACGATACCATAACGATACCGTGTTGAACATTTTTCGTGTACACGGCAAACGTGTATAGTGGAAACCCGGCTTTACAGATTTAAGTTTAAACGATATTAAACGTGCCTAATCAGTAATTATTACTAACAAATGTCTATATAAGTAATTGTTCATTACTGTTCGCCTTTCACGACAAATCAAATCCCAATTATGAAAACGTATAACAAAAAAAGTTAAAACACATTTAATATTATTGGTACTGGTTTGTTATAGCCCCGCCACGGCGAGTGAAAACTTTATAGCCCCGCCACTCAGGTTTGTTATCGCCCCGCGATAATATAATAAATATAAAATAATGAGACGGAAAATACGTACCATAACTATAAACTATAATAAACTAATATTATACCGATCAAACATCACAGTACGTTCTCCAGACTACGTTTCATAGTTAGTGTGCCAAATAGATCAGAAATTACATTGATACCTATTATTAACCGATATATTAGACATGGTTCTATAATTTTTTCTGACAGTTGGAAAGCTTATGCTAATTTGCAACAACATGGTTTTCAACATAATCAAGTCAATCATAAATATAATTTCGTGGACCCTAACTCAGGAACCCACACACAAAATGTTGAAAGAATGTGGGGTTCAGCCAAATGGGGCAACAAAAAACGTAGAGGGACGGATAGAAATTTTTTAGACTCGTACTTGGCAGAATTTATGTGGCGATCAAAACTGAATAATAGTGATCCGTTTGAAACCATTTTAAAAGATATAGAAGAATTTTGGGAGTCACATCAAGCATAAACATTTTTAATTATATCATTTTTTTTATATTTATTATTATTATTATATTCAATTTTTTAATATTAATTTTTTTAAATATTATATATTATATCGTCAATAAATAAACTTTTTTAATTATATCACTGTTTTATATTATTATTATATATGAATGGCGGGGGGATAACAAACCTGAGTGGCGGGGCTATAAAGCTTTCACTCGCCGTGGCGGGGCTATAACAAACCAGTACCATATTATTAATTAATAAAAATAAAACAATATTATTTTCATAAAAGAAAACTTTTTAAATATTACCTATATAGATTTATGGCTATATGACAATACATTTGAAAGGAAGACAAACATTTAAATTGTAAAGTATTTATTCCAAGTTCGATCAAATACAAAGAGGTGGGAGAGAATGTCGCTCTGCTGTACAGTAGTTTACAAGTAGGTCACTGTATAATGGTTAGTATTAAATTTGAATTCAATGATATAATAATATCATTGTATACGAAAAACGATTCTGAGACTGTTTGTCAGTGCGGATATTTTATACTAAATTTAAATTGTTATACTTATTATTAAAACGGTAACTATAGGTATAGTTAGCCGATCAGTAGAATTAATAGAATTAATTAAGTAAGTATATAATTATAAAATTTCAACAAAATCGTTATTCTCGGTTATTTAATATGTAATTTCGTCAAAATTTGAACATACTATAAATACAAAAAAAAAAAAAAAAAGGTGCTTTGCTGTTGAGTATGTTACAAGTGGGTCACTGTATAATGGATGGTATTAATTTTGAATATACTTTACTAAATTCCAAATTAATCATATCACAATATCCATTAGGTACTTATAACGCATTACACATCAACAACAAACCGTGACACTATCATAGATAAAATATATATACTTTAGAAGTTTCAAGTACCCACGAATAATATTATACAATCATAACAAAATAACTAAAATAGTTATTCTAGGTTTTTTAATATGTAATTTCGTTCAAATTGAACTTAAAATGACTATAAAAATAAACTGTGTCTATGTATTTTTTAGATTTTTTGGTAACAGAATTAACTACCTACTTACGTGGAATCTTATTTAAAATTTTCAATCCTTAGATATAAAAGTTGAACATTTTATAATATTTTAACTACTAAATAAATATTCAATTTTAAATTTGATAAATTTTGTCAAAAATCGATCTTTAAATGCATATAAAAAAAAATTGTGTCTATGTATTTTTAAAATTTTTCAACTGCTACCTAACTGCTTAATTGATATTAAGAACCTTGTATTAAATTTGGACGTTTTTTGGCCCAACAAATAAAACTGTATTAATATTTACAGAAAATGAAACTAAAAATGTCCTTAAACAGCTCAAAATATGTTTTAGAGAATTAGGTTCAAAAAACCAATATCGATTTGACCCCCCCAAAGTAACAACTAGATTCACGTACTCCTAACAATATATCATACAGTTGATGAAAAACTCCGCATGTTGGATTTTTACATAAAATAAATGTGCATTTCTTTGGTGACAAAAAAATTTAAGTAATATCCATTAATTTACTCAAATTATAAAATGCATTGTTAAATAATATAATTATAAATGCATGTCTCCTAATTTATTTTGTTTCAATAATTTATTTACTTGGCGAGAAATTATTTTGTGTAGAAATGTACATTATAATATTTTTAGTTATAATGAACTGTTAATGCCTTTTGTTTATTTTGTATTTTTGTTCAAGTTATTTCGTGTGCCATACTGCCGTGTAAATGTGTCATAATATAACGTAGGTAGATACCTATATAATTTCTCGCCAAGTAAATAAATTATTGAAACAAAATAAAAGTACTTTAATTCGACTTACTTGGCATTAATTTATAAATTATGATACCTATACCACATCTTTAAAGTGCTTAAAGATCTGTGTTTTTTTTTACTTATCCATTTATTACACAGAGTTAAACGAAGTGCTTTTTGTTGTGATATCACCAATTTTTTAGAAAATTGTCGGGATAACAGTTTTTCGAGGAATTTATTTTATCACTAAGTCTCTTTTTTTATTAAATAAGTACTTTTCGTTATTTTTTGTTCCTTTTGTGTACACTTTATTTGGCATATTTATAATTTAGGTACTCGACTACTCGAGGTGCGAACAAGCCCGGATTATGACATTTTGAGGCCCAGGGGCCAAAGTTTTAAATGAGGCCTCTTAGGAAAAAAAAAATAATAATGTATATATTATGTAGGTACCTGTTATAATAAATATATAATATAGGTATTAGGTACATAGGCACATAGCAATAAATAATGAATAATGTATCACTTTATTTATAAATTATAGTTTACACGCTCTTTTCCTCCCTAAATAATCATCGATTTTTTTGTGATTTATGCAGTGTTATAGCCTTTAACAAAAAAAGTAATGGACAAATCTGAGGCCTTTAAATAAATTCTATAACTATCGAGGTTAGTGGGGCATGCCCCCCCCCCCTTGGACCCCCCTCCCTTTATCCAGGCGTTGGTGCGAACACTATAATAACTAACAACAGTAATAACACACTAGTAATAATTATAATTTAACAAATTACATTAAATAAAATATAACAAATTTAGGGTATAGGTGATTTAATGAAACGATAGTCGATAACGAAATGAAACAAATAAACAAATACGTGAAGTCGTGTAATAACAATAATGAAATGCGTCGCGTACACGAAATGGAGTGGGGGGACCGGCCAGAAAGACGAAAAAAAGTCCCGATAAAAATGAATGAAAATATATCAACATTGAATTATAAATATGTTTAATTTGTATTGAAAAATGCATAAATGTTTACATAAAAGTTACGTAGAAAAAATCATACAATATCATAAAAAATGTTAGGTAATTACTTAGGTACTTAAAAATCACATATTAAAATATAATACAATTTAATTTAATACAAGTCTAAAATAATAAAATGTAATACAATAGTAAATAATAAATACAATTATATAGTACCTACAGTGTTGTATAGTATTTGAGTAAAAGTAATTGAGTAAAAGTATTCAAATACTTTTTTCGGTATTGAATACTTTTTTAAATACTTTTTATTTTGAAGTATTTGAATGGTATTTTAAATACTTTTTTTTACTATTTAATACTATTTTATTGAATACTTTTATTTAATTTTTTTTATTCTCTAGGAGACAGCTTATTTTCGGCGGTGATCGAAAAGATACATCTGTAGGTAGTCGGTATCACTATTAGCTAAAGTTAACAAAATATATAATATGTAAAAAGCTTCTACTTAACAGCTATTATATTTTATAGTTTATTTAGTTTATAATTATTTAACTATACGAAAATAATGTTAATAATTATTAGTACCTACTGGCTAGTGGCTACCTATTTATCAAGAAAATTTTTATCAATTATTATCATTATTGTTTATCGATGACGGTATGAGATATCCAAATACATAATATAGCTTTAAATTAATATAATAACTCTGTTGAGAAAAGTTCATTGTTGTAGTGCAACCAAATACTACAACATATAGTAGATATATAGTATTTGGTGCAACTAACATGAATAATCAGAATTTTGATTATTGAACGAATCATGTTTTTAAAATGCAATAAACACATTTTTGATTATAACAAATTATTTCAGAACTAAAAAGTAAAAAGAATTTTTTTTTTGTATTTGAAGATTATTTTAAATACTTCTGAAAAGTATTTGAGTATTACTCAGATACTTTACTATTTATAGTATTTGGGTGGTATTTTAAATAGGTACTTTATTTTAAGAGTATTTGAGTAATTACTTAAATACTTTTAAAAAGTATTTTTTACAACACTGAGTACCTATATAATATGATAATAATAATGCCATAAAAATGTAATATTATAATTAGGTACGCCTCTTTCTTATGTTATGACTAGGGCTGGGATTTTGATGCAAAGGCATCTTTTTTTCTGATGTTTTGAAACATTGATCAGTAACTAGTAAGTATAAAATGTGTTTTGGGTGATACTGATTATAATAAAGAATTTTTTATTTTGCATTTTTTTGCAATTTTTGACAAAATTAACCTTAAATGCATTTTAGGGACATTTTTTGACTTTTTAGTGCATTTTCTTAGTTTTTAGAGCATTTTTCACTATTTCTTCCTAAAATGAACGAAAATTGTTGAGACTCACAAGAAAATTTCGGAAAACTGCTGACGGTATATAATATATAATATTCATATATTTCATCATAGCTAAGCTTTTCCCCGAAAATTATATCCATTATAAACCTAAAGGCTATTATGAATTATTATTTTTATTACATACCATACATACATACATAAGTAGGTACAAGTTATCGTCTATAACAATTTTATCATAGCTAGGCCTAGATAAGTATTACTGATACAGTGCAGTAGCGATTTTGTTCAGGATAGCAGGTATTAATAACAACTACCTAGCAAAAACAAGTTAAAATATTAAATAATTTTAGAATGAATGATTAAGAAAACAAAAGGTTTTTTAAGTCATTTTTGCATTTTTTAAGGGAATTTTTTGAAATTGTTGAGTGCATTAAAATCCCAGCCCTAGTTCTGACTTACGGCGGTTAAAAAAGCCTGTTTATAAGTATACATATAACCTATTATTATACCAAAAAACGTTTGGTTTTTATAATGTTCCTAATCAAAGTTCAAATTATAAGTATCTATAGTAATTTCGTATATATTTATTAGTCTACTATATTTGAAAAACCATCCAGAATATCTGAATATGAAATAGTATTAAAACAAACTAATTTTTTTTTTTTAATTACCTCTGCTAATTACCTTTCAATTTATGATGAATAATTTATAATATGAAACTTTTTATATTTATCTATACAACTATAGGTATACCATATTATCATTACTTTAAAACTAAATAGTAAATTACTAAATTATAGCAAAAGCCAAAAATATGATCTTCATTAAGGAACTTGAAAATTAAATATATAATATATTCTAATATATACACAAAATAGGTATGTAACTCCCTTCTATTTTTTATCATATTATATGATTGTTTATGTAACTTTAATGTATTTTTCAATACAATTTCAACATATTTATACTTCAATTTTGATATATTTTCATTAATTTTTTTTCCGATTACCCAGATCGACAACGCGAGATGCGGCCGCCGTGATTCCAGATTTCATTATAATTTCTCATTAAAAAGTTTGCACATTTCCTTAAATAATTTAATTTCTAACAGTACGATTTCCATGATTTTTGTAAAAGGATCATCTGCACAATTTTTCTGATATTTTCCATTTTATTAGGTACCTATTTATTAATCAGTAGGTAGATAATTAGTTAGGTCTGGTTAAAAAAAGCATCAACATTTACACTGTAAATGGGCAACTCCTGCTTCGAGATAATATTATACACTGTCTTGCCGCCACTATATTTTTTATTTTACTTAGCTTGTTGGATATTTATTATTATTTATTTGTATTTTAGAAATTTTTACTATTGCATAGGTATTAGCCATTAGGTACCTATTTTCAACTGAAAGGTTTACATTTTTTTTTATTCATATTATAATATATTATCAGGGGCGGCGGGATATAGGATTATTTGAAGCAATTGCTTCATGTCTGAAATGGGTGGGTGGGTGTATAAATATATATATAATCGTAAGACCTCAACAAAAATATCATGGCAAATATTATAATTAATCGTTACTAATGGCCCATGCTGCTAATTTTGGTTCAATGAAGGGTACGGTGGTAAAAATATTTAAAATATACAATATGCTTCAAAGCCTACACAATTTCGCGCCGCCACTGTATATTATATTATATATTATTTAGTAGGAAAGTGGGTCATATAATATGTTATACTAATAGAATTTCTAAACGGAGTCCACAATAGAAATGTTCTAACACCGTGCTCGTTAAGTTAAAATGTTGAACAGTACAGTAATCACGGTTGTACAATGTAGGTACCTACATAATATACGTGGTAGTAATCACAGATAGGTATGTCGTATGTATAATAATGTTATTATACATATCTGTGGTAGTAATGGTTTAAATGTCAACAAAAGTTAGTGATAAGAATCCTTGGCGGATGACGTAAGAAACATGCTCGCATCAAAGTTGCTGGCATACCCATAAAAATATAAATTTCTATCACGGTCAATAGTAGTTGATATCATTGAATGATAATCATTCAACAATCGTCGAAGTCAAATACTCGAGTCATTATTCCGGCGGTTAACACCTTCGACGCGCCTGCCGTTTCAACGCCTCCGAGTTTGTTTGGTATTGATCTGTTTCTTTACTTCATTCATCAGTCGTTTGGTTCTTTCCGTAAAACTTACTTCCCAGTTCTCGCCCACTTTACGGACGTTGACGACTCCCGAGAGCAGCTGTACGCACAAAACGAGAACGTCCGTCGACAGCCATGGCTTTCAACTTCCCGGCGTGCACCTACATCGTGGCCATGATAACTGACGCTTTTCTGTTGTTTTTCTCCGTGTTTCACGTGAGTACCTACTGCCTACAACTCTTTGGGCCTTGGCCTCTAGATACCGTCTCACTGCCAGGTACTCCTTTGGTTGATAATTCGATTGAACGTTGGTCACTATGAACGACGTGCATAGATATGCCGTATGTGAAAATTACTTAGGTTTATTGAATCACATTGTGTACAATATAGTTTTGGGTAAGACACTATGAACGGTTCGTGATATTTGTGTAATTATATTATTGCGTCAGCAGGGTTGGGCATATCATAGTTACATGTAACTAAGTTATGTAACTCGGTTACTTTTGTAACTTGTAACAAGTTACACATTTTTAATTTAACGTCAGGTAATGTTTACTCCATTCACTCGTATAGTCGTATTATGGCCTAGTTAATCAAAAAAAAAATGAAATGAAAAATAGCCTACCTACCTTGCACAAAATATGGTATTTATTTCAATTTCAAAGTTTTTAATATTGTATTAAAGTATTATGTAATAATCCCGGTAATAACGGACATGAAGCATAGTTAACAAATTATTATATCTGTTTAGACCTTAAATTATGACCATTATGTATTTATGTCTATGCATCAGTTCTGTCCTTACAGTTGTTTTCTTATTTAGTGGTAATTAAATCATTGTTTAAAGCTGAATCTAATATATGCCTCGGTTCAATGATTAATATATTGATCGTTATTTGTTTTACATATTATAGTTACCTATATGTATACAATTATATAATCATATTATTCATAATAAACCATATATTTATGTTAGGATTAGTTATGTGGTAAAAAAATTAATTTACTATACAAAACTACTGCATAATATATGTATTGGGTAATTTAACTATCTTAATAAATAGTGTCACATTTAGAATTTTTCAATAGGGGAGAGCCAACAGGTTATCAGGCAAAGCCCGATGGTCCACCTGATTATTTTTAAGTTTTGGGTCACGAAAGATTTGTAAAAGTAATTTATTATTATTGATTTGATACAATGATAATTTACTACAGGAAGTATCATAATAAGGTTAAATATTATATTATTATAATGAAAACTATTGTGATTTTGCCTAATAAAGAACCATAATATTATATTATTATGTGATTATTATATTATATTAGATTATGTGTGCGCAACTAGAAAAAAATTTTGGGGGGGGGAGGTTACAATGTTACATTATTACAATATATATTATACATAAGTTAAATAAACTAGGCCTCGGAGAAATGTTGGGGGTGTTATAACCCCTTAACCCCCCCCATCCCTGGTTGCGCCACTGTTGTCAGCGTTTTTTTTAATTGTGTGTGTAGAATAATACACTCAACACATAGTAAGATGTGGGTGGGAGGGTTAGGTACCTAGGGCCGATCAAATTGTTAAGCCCGGTAAGTAATTGTTCACTAATTCGGATGAGGGTGTCACCACACACACATACTTATATATTATATTACTTATATGCCTCGTTATATACCTATATAATCTGGATTATGAAAATTGTATACATAATTTAAAATTTTTCCTTTTATTAGTCATAATAATTTAGACTTATAGGTTTATTATAGATGTTTAATATTTACTAACTAGAATATAACAGGTGTATTAGTATGTAGTATCTACTATGTAGATCCATACATTAGTTTTTCTATTTTTATAAGTTTATTACCAATATTACCAATATTACCTGGTTTATTAAGTAGCTTACCTTATTATCCTCATATCATATTATGTATGTATCAAATTAATTATAGCAAATAGATTCCATAGTTGATTAATATTATTATTATCTTATTTTTTTTTCTGTTTTATCTTTTAACTGAAATTATTTTGGTTATAGGTTATTGCGTTTGATGAACTGAAAAATGACAGCAAGAATCCTATAGATCAATGCAACAGCTTAAATCCAGTATGTATAAATATTAAATATGAGAAATGTTTATATGATTTATGTTGTAATCAACTGGTATTAGGTGTTTTAACAATTTACATAATATATATGTTAAATAGTATCTATCTATTAACTGTTATATATTATAAAAATATCTGGTGTTAGTTTTATAATTCATATTTTATTAATAATTTATTTTTTTAAAGTCCTAAATATATTATAAAACTGTAATAATGGGTAAAATTTTGATAACAATAATTATTGACGTTTAAATTTTTTTTTGAAAAAAAAATTAATTTCAAATTAACAGTGAAACTAATACCTATTAATTAAGACAATCAATTAAACATTTCATCTACATAATTGTGATTCTAAGAATTATTTCCTAAACAAACTATAAAAAATAACTTCATTAGGATAAAATGATAATATTTAACTGTTTTAAAATAGGTATTATAAAATGCACCTTTTCTAGTCAAAATTAAAAATATACATCATGTATGATGTCTGATTTAAAAGTTAAATTTTCCATTTAAAATCAAATTTGTGTACAGCAATTACAAATTCGTGTTAATAATACATACTATAAAATTGTAACATGGGAGCCCAAATTTGATATGTCGTATGTTTGTAAAACTGAGACAATACATTTGGGTGTGGCATCCTTATACACCAATTCTTGCCTATAGGGATTTATGTTAGATACCCATACTCTAGGGCTTATATTAATGAACATATCTTATAAGCAGAGAATGGATTTAAATGCTTTTAAAAACAAGAAAAATATAATTTAATGCACTTATAACATACATTTTTTTTTTTAAAAAGCATTTCAAAATTAATTTCAACATTGAAAAATTTTGTTTTGTTATTATAATTAATAATTATTATATACATTTTTATTATTAATAATTATTCGTTTTCTCCTATCTTCTTTTTAGCCAAAAAATTAATTATAAAAACTGTACTAATGTATTATAGGTCATACAGGGTGACAGGGGCATATTTATCTGATGGGTAAAAACATAACAAATATAAAAATAGAAGTATGACATACAAAATAAATAACATTTTATTTTATTCTTTTAGAATGAATTTAAATTAAATTTGTATCCATTATTATATAAAAATGACTTAAAAATATAAAAATGTCAAAAAATTAAAAATAACATACATTTTTTTATTCCTAGATGTATAAAATAAACTTTGTGCTTGAGAAGCAATGTTTTCGGAAATTCAGGAAAAAATACAATTTGCATTAAAATCTGTTCCGTACTTATAAGTAATTTTGTATTTTATAGAAGTACAGTAGATTCTAAATTCTAATTATGGGGAATGTCGCCATCTTGAACTATAATGAAATTTTCTTAAAATTAACATTGGACTTAATAATGTTTTACTCTCAATAACTCTATATAAAACTAATCGTTTTTCATTATCTAGAAGAAATAACCACATCATTGATTGATAATATTGATAATAGTGAATCATTTTCTATAGACCTTTGAAAAATTAGAATGTCTGATTAAGCTCAGAGAAGTGTAATACCACAGACTATATCAAATATTTAAATTGCTTCAAAAAAAGCTGGTAAAGACGGACAGTGATATGATAACTCAAATATTCCTGATGATAAATTAATTTTGTTGCCGCTCATATTAGTTTCTTATTAGTATTTTAAGTTTTCAAATTATTTATTTTAAGCATTCAAATTATTTACTAATTTTTTCAATTATTTTTAAATTTTTAATTAACCTCTTCACTGCTGCAGGCGTACTTTTATGTCCCAAAACATTTACACCATTCACTGCTCCAGAAGTGCAACTAAAATCTTAAAAAAAATACAATAAATATTTTATTTTACGTACCATATATCGGTTGCAGTAGATAAAACCCGGTGAAAGGGTTTAAACAATGTCTCAAATTTTTAATATTTCAAAATTTTTCTGTCCCCTTGATTTGACATAATGAGAGTTAACTGTACATTAAACAAATTTATATTCAAATTGAAACTTAATTTATAATTTATTATTAGAATTTTTTTTTTTTTTCGTAATGCAGGTTGGTATAAATTTATCTATTCATGTGTGGTCTCATTGATAAAATTGTATCAATAAAAGTGAGGAATAATAATTGTGTAATTTTTATTTCAGTTAGTGATTCCAGAATATATTTTACATTTCTTCTCAAATTTGCTGTTTTTGTTTGGAGGCCAGTGGTTATCCATTGCTATAAATGTTCCATTAATGGCTTATCATATTTCAAAGTAAGAGTGCATAGATTTTAGTAATAAATTGTTAAATGATATATTTATAAAACTTCCATTATATTATTTTAGGTATCGAAATAGACCAGCTATGTCTGGCTTTGGTCTCTATGATCCAACAAGTATTATGAATGCCGATAAACTAAATAAATATCAACGTGAAGGTTGGATAAAATTGGCATTTTATTTGTTCTCATTTTTTTACTACTTATACGGGTAAGTTACTTATTTTAACAAATCACAATTTAATTAATATATTGACATATTTTATTACAATTTTTTAGAATGATAAGAGCATTAATCACAGCTTAAATCTAAGATGGTCGGAAGTCTGAACATTCATCTGGTACAACTATAATAGCTTAAAAGTTAAATATAACTATGGGCAGCTGGATCAACAATCACCAGATTGAATAACCCCAACATTTTTAATTATTTCAGTAAGAATAATCTTCAACTTTTTATATGTTTACATTAGAAATAATTATACCAGTGTTATGCATGGATAATATAATAAATATACACTATTTATTAAATTGGTTATCATTTAAAAACATTTTGTATTTCAACATTTTTTCTATAGAATTTTTTAACTAATGAATTCGTAAATCTTTTCAATGTGTTAAATATATATTTTTTTTAGAATTTTGGGTAAGAAAGTGAATTTGATAGTCAAAAATTATGTTAAAATTACAAAGTAGTTTTTGTAATGTTTTGTACTCAAACTTGTATTTTTAAATTTTACAACCCAATTAAATTAAATTTACTCAAAATTAAAAAATTGTATTTGCAGGTAAATATGTATGTTTCTGGCAATCTGGAGTATTGGAACTGTGCGTAAAATAATTAACAATTAAGTTAATTGTGTTAAAAAAAATGATAAATGATACTTTTATTTAATAGATTACTAAAATTGTAATACATAAATAATAATTGTAAGTACAACCTTACTAAGTTTTAATTAACTTATTATATCATCATACTTTAGTTTACTAAAAGTTATGATAAAATTCACTCTATTTTTAAAAATAATAAATTAAAAAGTGATTTTATATAACAAATTATGTTTGATAAATATGAATAAAAATATTCTTACACTTAATATAGGGGAGTATTGTATAAGGTGTCAGTTCATAAACTCGTGACTGCAAGAATATTATTTGTTTATTTTTGTATTTCTGGAGGTACATATATGTTTATATATATACAAAATTAGAAATGTGCAAATTGTTAGACCTCAATTTTTTTTTTCATTGTTTACATTGATTGATCATTACATTCAAATTTGGCACTTCTATAACAGTACTCAATGAAACTCGACTCCTACTTTTAAAAAGAGTGTTTACCTACTTTCTACATTTTTTATTAATAATTGTTTTATGTTTAATAAATTATAATTTCAAAAATAAATATATTTATAAAAAACTAATCCTCATACAAATCACTTTTTAATTTTAGTTATTAAAAATGTAAACTGTAAACTCGCTAAAATTGAGTAATAGTAAGACAGGATAACGTAAGTTTATACTTATACGATATTTTGATTAATACATGTGTATATAATAATAAGAAATAAGAATAATATTAATAAGAAATAGATTGTTGGTTCATTATTTAATAAAAGTATTACATAATTTTCAAAAATTAATTTGTTGGAAGTATTTCTAGAATTAATTAAAAAAATCTGCTTTTTATTTTAAAATTGTTCATGATTTTTGGTATAATACTGGGATGTTTCATATCTTTAAATAATTTTGAATGTTTGAGATCACCGGCTACTTTTAATATTCCCTTTACATCTATAAAAGGGTTCAAACATGCTAGTTGACTATTGGTCCTTACATTATATTGTCGACTCAGGGAGGTTAGCTTAATGATATATTCTGCTCCTTGCAATGTATCCACAACTACATTGCTTGCCGCTTTTCACTCATAACACAGTTTCCGTTAGTCTAAATGGCCTTAAATCTACAGCTTCTGCAAAACCAAATAATATAAAGCACAGTTCTTAATAAATTTTCTGAATTAGAATGACGACTCAGCAGTTGTAAACTTGGTGAAGTGCTAGATGTGGCATACTGCATTGCACTGTTCTTTCTTCGAGGTTAAATATAGAATTATCATAATTTTCAGTTACTGGCCATTCTGTGGGGGTAGTAAGACACCGTCCTGGGAACATTCCGCTATAACTTATTAGTTGTAAGCTCTTATCCATTTGAACCTCTTGAGGCCACATCTGCTGGATTGTCTGCAGATGGAACATATCGCCAAACTGCTGATGGCATCAAGGTTTGGATCTGTCCTACTCTGTTTGAGATAAAAGTCAGCCACCTAGCTGGATAGCTACCAACCCAATGTAATGCAACAATTGAATCTGACCACAAATTTACTAATTGCATATTTATGTTAATCGATTGAAGTAGGGCGTTGGTAAGCTGAACAAGCAACATCACACCACATAACTCCAACCTTGGAATGGTAATTTTCTTAATTGATGAAACTTGAGTTTTTCTGGGTGCTGTATGTTTTTGAATGGAAATTATGTAGACTACAGCAGCATAAGCCTTTTTAGAGCTATTGTTGAAACCGTGCAGTAAAATATACTGTGTCTGATACTCTCATGCATTCATTATTAAAATGTATTGAATGACATTCTGTGTTTTCCAGGCGTTAAATAAATGTTGGGAAATATGGTCATCCCACTCTAAGCACAATTGCTTTATTAATTTAGCAACAATCAACCACAAGAATCAAAGTTTCTTGCGATTTTGTATATTAGTTCTCTTTTTATTAGATGAGAAATAACTTTCATTGCTTTCGCCTTAAATTTGTGTGTCATTCGTTGTGTTACAATTGATGCCCAATATTTTAAATTTGGAACCCTGCATAGTTTTTGAACAAAAAAATTTTCTTTAATTTTGTGTTCAGAGGGTTAATGTTGAAAGGCTTTGTGGTGGTTGCTTGTCCATTTGCACAGCTTAAAACCTCTATGATTTAATAAGAATATATTATCACCTCCAGTCATGACTTTGTCAACTTAAAAATCATTATATAAAATCTGAGTTCCTATTAGTGGCTGTCTTGTTCATCCAAAACTAATTGTTTTCAATATTTAAAGCATGATATTGTGTGGTCACTGGTCCCACGGGCCCATAAAGCCCCCTCCCTCCCAATTCACCGTATTTTATACTTTTTTTTTTTTTTTTTATTAAACCTTGGATTCCATCAGAAACTTTAAATTTCCAGTAGTTGTTTAGAGAAATAAAAATAGAAAATTCCAAAGAGATTGGTTGAACGAATTCCCATGCCTCAGCTATAGTAGTAAAGACTGTAGGGCATATAATTTTATATGTGTTTTATTAGAGATGTTGGCTGAGTAGGTGATAAAAAACTTTAGGTTTTTACATTAAAACCTTTATCAAAATAAAAAATGCTGTTGCTGATTTTAAAAAACATTCAAACTTGAATTTCCGTGCATTATCTATAGTAAAGTCGGAACATTTTTGTGCAACTTATGGAGGGAGATATACAAGTGTAGATATTCAGTTAGATTCAAATTTAAAAAAAGGAATAGCAATAAATAGAAAAAAGTCCTGCCAGTCGTAAAAACTATTTTGTTTTGTGGAAAACAAAATATAGTACCACGTGGACATAAATATGATACAGGAAATATTTTGCACCAAAATTCAGATTTTGTTGAAAACAATGTTAATTTTTGGGGTGATATAAAATGATATGATACAACATGGTGGAAATATTGTCATAAAAAAATACTAGTAAAAGTAAAAAAGCAACATATTTTTTTATTTTAGCAGACAAAACTACTGATACTATTCATGTAGAACAGTTGTCAATCAGTATAAGATATGTAAATTTTGACTTGAAAACAATTTGCTAGAATTTTATTAACACACGCGTGACATAGTATTTTAGATGTGTTTTTTGCCAAACATACCAATTGATCTAATGAAGCGATAAGAATTCTGAAGAAATCGACTTTCCCACATTTTTGATATTATCCCCCAAATTTCTTAAAATGTCATATTCAAAAAGAATATTTAACAATTCTGTTATTTCAATTTTTTTAGAAGTTAAAATCAAAAAAATCAAAAATGTGGGAAAGTCGATTTCAAGTAGACAGGATTATTTCACAGGAAAAAAAAAGTTCACGCTGCCACTGGCTCTTAGTACTTCTTACATAATATAATACATAGTAGGTACCAACTAATACATTTATTTAAATAGTAAATAGTATAAATTAAAAAATTCATACTATTTATAAATGTTTTAACCTCCCAAAAGTACCAACTAGTTACTAGATTCAATATGCAGGTTCCAAAATGTAGAAACCTTAATTCAAACTTCAAGTTAATGACAAGGGCATTTTTTCTATTAGAAAAAGTGTTTCCTTATCAATACATTTGTCGATAAGCTCAGAAAATCAGAATCTAAACATTTCAAATGTCTTAAAATACCTACCCCAAAATGAGTAAAATTTTCATCGCTCATAAAAAATGCTAATAGGTAGGTACTTGTTCCGTATTCGATCGGTGAACATTTTAAGTGTAATATTTTTTTGTCTTTCCATTTATTATGAAATATATTGGGAAATTAGGTACTCAAATGACTTCTTTGGACAAAATTGGGAACACCACCACGGATAAAAATTCTAGATATGCTACTGGTAGGAACGGAGGACTATATTTTGTCAGAACTGTATTTTATCTGAAAGTGGTTTGTTGGATTCATACCTCATAATATTTTACAATTATGCATTATTTAAATCTTAAATGTAATTATTTTAGGTAGGTATAAAGGTAGGTCTTTCTAATTGATACTTTAACACTAAGTGCCAGACTCGTTATATTATTTCATTTTTAAAAAAAAACAAATAAACTGTTTTTTTCTGTTTAAAACGATGTTTTAAACAAAACAAATTGTTAGCATTTTAAACAGTTTTAAAAAAGAATAACACAATATTAACTTAGATTTATCCTGTTTTAAACATATTTTATTCGTTTTAAACAATTAAAACAAATGTTTTAAGTTAAGAAGATGACAATTGTCAGCGCCCTATTTGTGTTCTCTCTCTGGCCCACTCGCAGCATAGACAAAACGCATTAACACAGAATCATTTTTTTTCTATATTTTTAAGTAATCCTAGAGTAAAATCACCCATTACAAAAAAGATAGTGAATAATATTTTTGAGGGAATGACATATCGATTTTATATTTTATTGTTATTGGACTTTGTATTTGACTTTCAAAATAAACAAAAAAAAGTACATTTTAATGATGTTTAAATTGTTTTGAAACAATATTTAGAGTTTATACAAATCGATATGACATTCCCTCAAAAATATTATTCTCTATCCTTTTTTTGAAATGGGTGAAGTTACTCTAAGATTACTTAAAAACATAGAAAAATGATTCTGCGTAATTGCATTTTGTCTATGTTGCGCGTGGACCAGAGAGAGAAAATAAATAGTGCGCTGACATCCTCTTAATGTTTTAAATTTATAGAAAGAAAAATTTTAATAAAGGTGGGCGAGTGGGTGTCGCTCTGCTGTACAGTAGGTTACAAATGGGTCACTGTAATGGATGGTGTTAAATTTGAATTCAATGATATAATATCATTGTAGTATAAAAAAAACACGATTCTGAACGAAAACGGTCAGTCAGCCTATGATATTACTAAGTAGGTACCTATATTTGATGATATTATTGTGAATAAAGTAGTTTATATATACTAGTATACCCTATTTACGTGGAACCTTGTTTTAAATGTTCAATCCTTAGCTATAAAAGTTGGAACATTTTATACATTTTTAACAGCCAAATAATAATTAGGTACATTTTAAATTTGATAAATTTTGCCAAACTTCCACCTCCAATGCTTATAAAAAAAAATTGTGTATATGTATTTTTAATATTTTTCAATTGCCATTTAAGGGGCCTCTGCCTCGCAATGGCATTGATTTAAGGAGAATCATTTAGGCAATTTCTAATCTCATCGTCGCCACCCGAGATCTATCATGGGTTAGTAGTAAATGATTATTAGTGTGTGTGGCGTCCATGCGGGTCAATTGAAGCGGTGCGGAAGGCTCCCGCACGCACTTGCACGCACATGTCAATAAATAATATTCGATCATGAAAAAATGTTTATTTTTCACTCAAACATACGATTCTAATAGTACGTCGCAGCGATTACCTCGATTTTCATTCTGACAAAATATTCTTATTTTCACAAAATTTACGAGGGATCGATCGAGGCACATTTTTAAAATTGTATTTAGTTAATTAAATATTTAAGTTGGAAATTCTGTATTTTTTTTCAATTTTTATTGAAATTTAAATAACAAAAAATGAAAATGTGGCTCTATCGTTCCCTTGTGTATATTACGGACAATCAAAGTATTTTTTCATAGTGAAAATTGTCGACACGTATTGTTGGAATTAGAAACAGTATTTTTTGACAAAAAAAAGACGTGGTAGTGAGGCCCCTTAAGCAATATATCAGGATCCTTGTATTCAATTTTCAAGCTTTTTTACCCTACAAAGTACAAATAACATTTTATTTACAATTGTAGCAAAAAAAACCAAAAAAATTGAAAAGCCCGTAAACAGCTCAAAAAGATTCAAAATATTTTCTAAGCTTGATTTTGTATAGAAAATGAGAATATTAACATTCTTCCACAAAAAACCAAAATCGATTTTATTGAAAACCAATTTTGCGTAATAATTTCCTTTTTTCCTTAATTTTTTTTTGTTGTTTTATTCTATGCTTTTGAATATTACTGCAAATTTTGACATTCCCAATGCACCAACTAAATTCACTTTCCCATCGAACAAGATACCTACTGAAGTGGAAAATCGAAGAATTATTTCGACTACTTATCGTGTACTCAGACACAAATAATAATAAAAAAAGGTGGGCAAGTGGGTGTCGCTCTGCTGTACAGTAGGTTACAAGTGGGTTACTGTATATGGATGGTATTAAATTTGAATTCAATGATATAATATCATTGTATAAGAAAAACGATTCTGAGCGGTGACGGTATGTCAGTCTATGTATAAGACATATTATATACATATCTATGGTATTAAACAAAAAAATTGACCTATAATAGGTACCTATAATAAATTCCAAATTAATCATATCACAATATCCATTAGATACTTATAACGCGTTATACATCAACAAAAACCGTGATACTATCATAGATATATAATAGTACACTTTAGAAGTTTCAAGTACCCACGAATAATATTATTCAATCACAACAAAATAACTAAAATAGTTATTCTAGGTTTTTTAATATGTAATTTCATCCAAATTTGAATTTAAAATGTCTTTAAAAAATAAGTGTGTTCATATATTTTTTAGATTTTTTGGTTATAGTATGAACTATTTATGAGAACCTTTGTGTTGAATTTGTAATCCTTAGCTATAAAAACTGAACATTTTATAATTTATTAATTACAATGATTGATAATTTTCGAGATTTTGATGAATTTTGTCAAAATTTGATTTTTAAATGCTTATAAAAAAAAACTGTGCCTATGTATTTTTAATATTTTTCAACTGCTATCGTAACAATATATCAGGAGCCTTGTATTAAATTTTTACACTTTTTGGCCCAACAGATAAAACTTTATTGATATTCATAGAAAAAAAAACTAAAACAAATTGAAAGCTGTAAATGTCCATAAACAGTTCAAAATAAATCAAAATATTTTCAAAATTGTATGGTGTATAGGAAATGCTAATATAAACATTCAGTGAAATTTTCATGTATCTATAGTTATTCATTTATGAATAACAACAAAATAAGGAAATCGCTACATGAGAAATCGAGTGAACATCCAATGTTGTAAAAATTTGAATTTCAAACGCTCATAAAAATTTAATTTGACTGTCCGGTAGAGATTTTTTTATTGATAAAGGTAGACAAACTTATGAGTAATCTTGTATTACATTTTCAAATCTTAGATTTATAATAAAATGTCCCTAAACAGTTCAAAATAAATCAAAATATTTTGAAAATGTTATCGTGTATAGAAAATGCAAATATAAACAACCAGTGAAAATTTCATGTATCTACGGTGATTTGTTTAAAAGTTACACCAAAAACCAAATACGATTTTGTCAAAAACCGATTTTGCGTAAAAATTCCCGTTTTTCCTTAATTGTTTTTCCTGGCGCTTGTGAAAACTATTGGGAAATTTATACTTTTGACCCCCCAAAGTACCAATTAGATTCACTTTCCTATCAGAAAAGCTACTGAAGTCGAAAATCGAAGCATTATTTCGACTACTTATCGTGTACACAGAGACAAAAAAAATAAAAAAAACACATTATTGTAAAATCAATACATTCATCGTTTCACTCAGAATCTAAAATATAAAAAACACGTATCGTTATTCATTTTAATACCAATACCTACATCGCTCCACTCAGAATTTAAAATTTGAATGATGTTTAAATTGTTTTGAGACAATATTTAGACAAATCGATAAGTCATACCCTCAAAAATATTATTCTCTATCGTTTTTGTATGGGTGATTTCATTCAATTCATTCTAAGATAATACTTAAAAACAAAAAAAAATGATTCTGGGTAAATGAGTTTTGTCTATATGTTGCGCGTGGATCAGAGAGGGAAATCAAATAGTGTGATGACATACTCTTATGTGCAGATTTATTTTGTATACAATAATACATATTATATTTTTAATCTTTCACCTTTAATTTGATCTAAAGTTTTTTTTTTTACATGCCGTTGCCTACAACACTACCTATAGTGCGTAGTTGAGTATTGGATTTTATGTACCGTCGACGGTCGTTTAGATGTTTCTTACCTACTTACGTCCTTGATTAATATTGTTAAATGATAACAGTGAAAATTAAATAGATAAGGATTTAGCATGCCGGCAAATAGCTGCAATTAAAGTTTAATAAGACAATTAAATTTAATAAAAACGTTTTTAATATTATCGCTGATTTTATATTATAATAATTAATTATCTACTTGTGCAATCATCGTATAATATATTTTATTCTCTTCTGAATAAAGTGCGTTTTCATTTATCTTATCATCAACAAAACATAGTTAACATTATACATTTGTGTTTAAAGTGCTAATTTAATTTTTCTACTACCTAGTATTTCAATAGCAGCAATTAGTAATACATCTTTAATTAAAATATTTTGAAGATAAGAAAATGCGATGAACCATTAACACTTACATATGAATTGAATATACGCATTTTAGTTGTGATCTGTACCTTCAAATATGTATACGCGTAAGGTCGGTCTTGTTGTTCGACATAATTTTAAATCTTGCCTTTGTGTCAGACACAAAAGTGATTTACCCACAAAACAACCAGATAACTATTATGACCCGGATGCTATTCATGAGAATCCATTGGAGAGGTGTAAGAGGTTTGTCAAAAGAGATATAAATGAATTGTGGAGAAAAGTTAATGACCCATTTGATCAGTACGAAGATGATAAAATATTCCCCAAAACCGTTGACATTTTAATTGTTGGTGGAGGTGTAATTGGTTCATCCATTGCTTATTGGCTCCAAAATAAATGCAGAGATGGATTAACAATTGCTGTTGTTGAAAAAGATTTATCGGTAAACAAATCAGTTATGTCTACTCAAGAGGTATTGTAGTTGATTAAATATTTGTTGCATACATGGTAACAGTATTAATTATTTTGATATTAAGATGGTGAAATTTGTATCGGCTTATGAGTTATACTGAGAGTTGGGTATAATTGCAGTTTAGCTACCACGAGATTTTTTCAAATTTTTTTTTCGAAACCTAGGTAAATCAACGTTTTAAAAATGATGGTGCCAAAAAAAAATTGCGCAAACTCTTAGTTTTTGAGTTATAACTGTTAGAAATTCAAAAATTCCCAAATATTGCATTTTGAATTTTGAACTTTTTTTTTGTGGTAGACTATTATGTATTTTGATTTTTGACTATTTAAAAACGATGGTGCAATCAGAATTTGTCGATCGAATTGAGTTTGAAAGTTATAGCGGTTTTAAGTTAAAAATTTTGGATTTTTAAAGAAAAATTTTTTTTGTTGAACCAAGTCGCCAAGTGAGGTAGTTGCGCCTTACCTGCTCCGGTTATATTTTTCAGATATATAATTTCTCTGAATCCAAATATCGTAAATATAAATGTTTCTGTAATTGGCAAAAAACAACTTTGTTTAATTCCGAGGTTCACCTGAGGTGGTTTTACACAACAAATCGGGGGATATTTTCGATTTGCGGAGCGGAGCGACGGCGCCGAGGAGCGTAGCGACGAGTGCCAATACACTCGTAATCACTGCAACTTTTAACTTTCATAACATAAAACCACTATAACTTTCAAACTAAATTCGATCGACAAATTCTGATTGCACCATCGTTTTTAAATAGTCAAAATACATAAGTCTACCACAAAAAAAAAATTCAAAATTCAAAATTTGGGAGCTTTTGAATTTCTAACAGTTATAACTCAAAAACTAAGAGTTTGCGCAATTTTTTTTTGGCACCATCATTTTTAAAACGTTGATTTACCTAGGTTTCGAAAAAAAAAATTGAAAAAATCTCGTGGTAGCTATACTGCAATTGTTCCGAGAGTTGTAACAAATAAATCTTTTAGGTATGGGTACTACTGTACTACAATTATTTTTGTTGGTAAATTTAATTTATCCGGGTTAAAAAATAAGCTACCTATATTTCTAATATCATCCCTTTTTGTATCTAAATTAGTTAGTTAGTTTATATAGTGAATAATTGAATCAACCTAATTTGATAATTATATAAATCAATCACAATTTATAATTGAATTAAAATTATTCTTTCTTTAACTTTTTTTAACTTAAGTCTTATCAACATTTATTGACTGAACAAAATTCAAGCAGTCTTGTAAAGTACTCGAGTAAAAGTATTCAAATATGTATTTCAAATACTTGTTAATTTTACTTGCACAACAGAGGTATTTTTAATACCTACTCAAAGTATCTCTATTTACTATAAAATGTAAAATGATCTATAAAATTAATTTAAAAACTTTTACAAGACTGGACTTTCAAATTAAACTATAATTAAAAATTAATAATTGAGAAATGTTTATCTTAAAATTTTTTTCCTATAATACTTATAACATAATTTGGTTGTTTCAGAACTTAAAACAAATCATTATAATTTTAAAATACTAAAATACATAGATACACTGATGCAGGTATAGTGTATTAAATATGTATATAACATACATTTTTAGTTGGTTTTTCATTTTTTAATGATAATTTTACGCTATTTCTGAGCTTTGGTCATATAATTTTTTTATTAGAAGCACTGGTTAATCAAGGCATCAATCCACTAAGTTTTATGATTTGTAACGTTTGACTATAGCTATATCTACTGTACGGTTTAAAATTTAAATGGTTTAATAATTTGATTGAACTATAATTTCTACTAAATAATGTATGTACTAATTTCTCATTATCATATAGAAATAGAATTACTGCCAAACACTCATGACCTACAGTCTATATTTTGAGTGTCCTACCGAGATTTTCTCAGTAGCTCACCAACCTAATCTGGTCCTCGTCATACATATTATGTAGTTGTGAAAACCTTAAGACTTATATTAAGTATTATCCATAATAAAATGACAAAATTATTATATCAAATAGAGTATTGTTATAACTACTTATATAATATTATATCAGTGATTTTTCTGTACCATTAATACATTTTATAATATAATTTGTTTGTTTGGTTACTGTATTAGTATATTAACCAAAACGTCATATATTTATGTGTATTAAATGAAATTGGTTCAAGCAAAACAGTTTTTACACATAATTTTTTAATTACGGAACAAACTCATAGTATATAACGTCATAATGATCCATCACTAAGTTGGGAGAACTCTAAATGAATGTATACTGTACAACATTTTAATTTTTCTAAAGCTGTGTTAAATTAAAATACCTATTTAATTAATAATATTTATTTTAATATTCTAGTATGCAAAAGCATCTTCAGTACTTTCATGCGGAGGAATTCGTCAACAGTTTTCACTTAAAGAAAACATTGAATTATCCCAATTCAGTGCTGAATTTCTTCGAGATATCAAAAATTACTTGACCATTCCAGAACAGCAACCACCAGAAATAAATTTTAATCCATCTGGCTATTTATTTTTAGCTACAGAAAATGGTGTGGATACAATGTTAAAAAATCATCAACTACAAAAGTATGATCTTTACAATTAATGAAAATGATTGTTTTTAATTTTTTTAATTACTTTTTAGGGAATTAAATGCTAATGTTGAACTTTTATCAAAAGATATGATGAAAACTAAATTTCCTTGGTTAAATGTAGATGATATTGAATTAGGAAGTCTTGGAACTTTAAATTCAGGATGGTAAATCGTAAAACTTATACACTAGTTTTTTGTATTTATTTGGCTAATTGTTTCTACAATTATACTATTTAGGTTTGATCCTTGGTCCTTGTTGAATGCATTAAGAAATAAAGCTAAATCACTTGGGACATATTATGTTGAAGGTGAAGTAGAAGATTTTGGTTTTAAAGTAGATACAAGCATAATGGTGGAAGAAGATCCTAATAAAGAATATGAAGGGATTAATAGCGTAAAAGTATGTATGGTGTTATATTTACATATTTATTTATTAATATTTGACACTTGTTACATATTAATTATAAATTATAAGATAATTAAAGCTATGGTTTTCAACTTTTTAGGTAAAATTAAAAGATGGTGAAACACAACAAATAGTATTTGGTATATGTATAGTAGCAGCGGGTGCCGAATCAGGAAAAATTGCTCGAATGGCTAAAGTTGGAAATGGAAAAGGATTTTTATCCACACCTTTACCTATTGAACCTCGGTAATTACAAAATAACATTAACTATTTAATATGTTATAATCAGCTCTTTACTAAACTTTTTTTTTACAGTAAACGTTTTGTGTATTATTACCACGCACCTAAGGGTCCTTCAATGTCTCCAATGGTAATTGATCCATCTGGAACTTATTTCAGGTAACAAACTTAAAATATATATTAATATTTTGTGGTTTCTAATGAGATAATTGTATAATAAATTATAGCGTACAGTAATCTCAAAATTATTCAGTACCTAGTAGAAAAAAATGTTTGGAAGTAAATTTTTTTTTTTTTATTGAATCATAAATATATATTGACCGAAAATAACATATTAATAAAAAAAATTAAACTGATATATCTATATCCTGTAAGCATATGCTTGTGTTGGAGATAGAGAGTTACAAAATGAAAAAAACTTAATTACAAATTATCGTATAAGATTGACATAACATTTATAACATAAAAAACATATTAGATTATTAGGTACTCTAAATATGTATTATTATTTATTTGTGACCCATCATTGTAGCTAAGATTTATTATGTATATGTTAAAAGCAAGGTGAGGTAGTTGGGCGTTGTGCACAGTGCCCGGACATTGTGTACAATGACCACCAAATCCTTGAAGGGCAATGTATGCTACCATGTTTAAAACAATACAATTAAATAAATTTAATACAATATAATAATAAATATTATATTAATTAATTTATTATTATTTATTAGATGAATATTAGTATACATAGTAAATTAAATTTGTTTTTTTAGTTTAATAATATTAAAAAAGTAGTTATATTTATATATTTGAGCTTGGGTTGCTACTGTGGCACTTAGAGTTACACAGTTTATCTGCTGCTTTACATTTGCATTTTTTTGTTTTACACTTCTTCGTACAACCACATCTATTATATCCTTGACCACCTTAGATGGAATTGTGTCGAGCTACCTCTCTTAAGGAAATTATGTTTTAAGGTACTTCTTCGGTCGTAATAAAAGACTCCTTACATAACTTAAATTGGTTACGACTCTACATTTGATTTATTTTTCCTTCCTTGGTCCCAATTTCGAACAAATTATCTTTTACTATAAAGTATAAATTTATATTTATGAATTAATTTATATTTATACTTATTTTACTTATGAATAAGAATAAATATAAAATTCTAAGTTACCAGAAAGTATGACACCTAGATTATTGCGAAGATCACATCTTGCTCTATCTACATTGGGTGAGTTAGGTATATAATATCTTAATGAAGAGACAACGCAGTATCGTCCTTAGATCGTCTCCGCGGTACCAACATATATTATACAGTAAATTTTTAGATTGACCAAAAGTATGTCGGGCAATCCAAATTGCCCAGACATTGTTATAGAATGACCGGTCATAGTAAACAATTATTACTAACTGATTACTTTACCCAAAACTGATGGGCCATGTGCATAATGCCCGGCTATTGCTAATTATTTTTTTTATTTATTTATATTAACATTAATAAATGTAAAGACAAAAATGTTCAAAAACTTTTTCTAGATGTTAATATTAAACATAAACTAAATATAAAATAAATATTTTAATTTGTGGTTTTTTATTTATATGCTTGTATTAAATAAAATAAAAAGTATTTTGTTAAACTGTTGATTTGTAGGCCTGACAGCTTTGACAACCATTATATATGTGGTAAATCACCCTGTGATACAGAAGAACCAGAAACAGTCAATTTAGATGTAGATCATGATTTTTTTGAAAAGGAAATTTGGGCAACACTCGCACACAGAGTACCTGCATTTGAAGAAGCAAAAGTAACTAAAAACTGTTCCACTATAAAGATTTTATTTCAGTTAATTATAAAGTAATTACAAGATTAGTTTTATTATCAAAATATAATTAAAATTAAAAAAAAAAATTTCAAGTGTATTTATCACGTTGAAAGCCAATTTCAACACATAGTTGACATGAGTGAACAGGTTGGTCGTGGCTGGACGGTGTTAACATGCAGATTACCTGTTTTGTAATTAAGTCTTTATTTGGTGACTATAGTCATACATTGTTTAATTTGTATTGGTCATTCATTATCGTATTGTCTATTACATCAAATTTACCAATTTTTCAAGGGACGAAGGGGGCTTGCAGGTCAAATCACAATCTAGAATTGTATATAATAATTACTTATAATACACATTTTTTCAAATTTTTTTATTACATAATTATAATAAATTATAAAACAACAGATTTCAGACTTAAACAATAATATATTATATTTTGTATAATATTAATTGTCCCATATCTTAAATTATAATATTAATATGTAGGTGAGTTGTAGTTATATTACAAATGTAATACACTAATGTAAATAAGAATTTAAGTTTAATTAATTAATTTATCTAAGATTTTCGCTCTCACATAAAACAATATATCATTTACACAATTTAAAATAAATTATTTTTAATTCTTAACTTGACTTAGTAGTAACATAATATTTTACTTAACAATTTACTAAAGATATGCTGAGTTGCATGAAAAATTAATTAATTTAATGGTTCAATAAAATTAAATGAACAAATCATGGACCACTAAATCATGCTTAAGATACCATAGGCTCACTATTGATTCAATAAAATGTTTTAGTGATTGTTCATGCAACCTGGCAATAAGGTATTATATTTTATGCAGTGTTTATACGTATTCAATATTATGGTCTATTAAATAAAATACAAATGATACTTATACTTAATGTGTTTATGTTAATTTTAAAATGTGTATTATCACAGAACGATTTCATTGTTTGAATTAAAACGTTAAAATTATGTAAGTTTCATTCTGTGCTATTACAATTTATATAATTTTTAATAATTTAAATTATTTCACAGGTGAAAAGTAGCTGGGCTGGATTTTATGATTATAATTGGTATGATCAAAATGCTGTTGTCGGAGCTCATCCAAGTTATTTCAACTTATTTTTTGCTGCTGGTTTTAGTGGACATGGTATATAATATAAACATTTAAATTGAATTGATACAATTTAATTAATTAATATTTATTAATATTAGGTATACAACAAGCACCAGCTATTGGCCGAGCTATTATGGAAATGATTACTGAGAGTGGATATAACACAATAGATCTTTCTAGGTTAGGTTTTGGCCGTCTAATTGCTGAACAACCATTATACGAAAAGAACATTGTCTAACAACTTAAAAAATAAATTATAGTATACTAATGATTTGATTTTTTACTATTAAATAGATGACGATCATTGTTAATAGAATAAGTTTGTTTTAATTTTAATATTTTAAAAATAAAAATATTATAATAGATGTTAAGTAAATAAATACAATTGTATGTTCTAGAGGCATATGACAGGTTTCAACAGAATAATTATCCATAGTAAATAATGCCTGAAAAAGAAAAACGTTTCATATAATTTGTTAATAAACTATCATAAAATAGCAGTTAATATAGTTATTTCATTACACTTCCCATTAAACTTTTTTCCTTGTTTAACCGGCAGTAGAGGAGGCCCTGTTTTCTATAGTACTCCTCTGCTGCCATCGTTAATTGATGACTAAAATTTATAAATACACACTATACATTTCCAATTATACTTACAAGCATATAACTTGGATTATATTTATTTCTCCAATTAAATGAAGATATGCTGTATTCATGAACTCCATTTGTATGTTCAATGTGGCAACCGTGATGAGTATGACCGCCAAAAACTAAACGAGGCTGCACTATTTTCAACAACTAGAAACAAAACATTTTTTGTGTTTAAATATTTTCAACATTACATAATGAATAATGAAACTAGAAATTAAGAATATTTGGTACCAAATTTAATTTCTGTAGATACATTATTTAATATTCTCTTTTATGCATACATTTTCACAGAATAAAATATTGTTCTAGAATTCTTAATTTCATCTATTATGACCATTTTTATAAAATTTATTTAAAAAAGCCATCAAAACCAAAAAAAAAAAATATACAATCAATCGTGAAAAAAATGTCTTAATAGGTAATTTCTTCATACATTTTTTATTAGTTTTATAACAACCAGCATTAGGTTTTAATACATTTTTTTTCTCAGCATAGACTAGTATAATATGTGTATGCAATTCGTATCTCAAATTTTTTATTTATAAGCCTACTATAACATGTAAAAGTACCTAATTTTGACTAGACCTTAGGTACATGTGTATACTAAATTGATCATTAAAAGCCTACAGGAAACTTAAATAATTATTTTATTTAAGTTTGAAAACAATCAAATAAATAATTTACTTAGCTTAAATGAGAAACCTATAACCTTTTTAACTATTTTAATTAAAAAATTTCTGAGTATTTAAACAAAAATTATAGTCTATAGTTCCTACTTATAAATGGAAAATAGAAAATCATTTTATTAAATTATATAAAATTATAATTATATTTATTCCAATAATTTTCACAAATTCTCAATCTAAAAAAATATTTATTTATTAATCACATATATTTAGATGATAAATAATAAAAACTTATATTAATTATAAAGTTAAGTTAGTTTTACACTTTATTCAGTACCTTATCGGTTGCATCTTTGCGTAGACAATCCAAGCCCACACGATACGGTTTTTCTTTTTCTTTTAATGAGGCTGAATCCGGTTCATTGCAGGCCATATCATTTTTCCTGTATAAAGGAAAATGCTGAAATTAAAATTATTTACATTTGATTTAGTTAAATTGATCTTACAAAATAAATTCATATTAATAAAATAAAATACAAAATATCACTATTATTTTATATTTGTAGCTATATATCAATCATTACTATACTGATCTTAAACATGCTTGAATACTTAACAATTTATGTACAAGCTTACAAATTAAAAAAAAATATTCTTTAATCGGTAATAAACATATAATCTACATTTAAACCTATAGCACATTTAACATATTCATGATTAACGATTGGATATAGAATGTGATGAAAAGTAATAACAATTGCTTTTAAAATGAATACTATATCCTCTCTAAATGAGTATCAAAAAAAATTATTTCTAATTGGTATAGAATATCAACCGTATAAAGAGAAATAATATTTAAAAAAAAAATTATTAACTAACATTATTAAAGTGTTAAAAAAATTGCCAGTACAATATTAGTTGATTTATATAACTATAATGATTTAGAATTTAAAGTTTTAATTACTTGTAATAGTATGGGTTTACTATAATTTCCATCTAGCATCATTTTTTTTGAACAATTATTTTCATTTTGGCTGCATTTTAACCGCTCTAAAATAGTTAGGATTTATGCACATTTTATTCAATAAGTTATAAGAAATTAAAATAATATCTTTCAACTTACTAGAAATTATGTTTAGTTTTAATTTAGCAGTATGACATAAAAAACATCCATCCATTTCCATTGCCATACTATTAATTGTCACAAAATGAACATTACGTCTACTGATCAATTCTACTGGACCAGTATTAAACACTTTATTAAATCTTTTTTCAAGATATGGTGTTATGCTATATCATAAAATAAAGTTGATTATTCTAATTAAGTATAAACAAATAAATGGATTATTTATACCTATAATGGAATCCGATGTCATGATTACCAACAATAGTATATAACTGTATATCTGATGGTACTGAAAACAAATAATTAAATGTTTCAACATACGAGTTGAAATCTTTTTCACTACTCCATAATCCTTCATCAAATAAATCACCTATGAAGAATAACATATAAATTAATTTTTTTCAGTATACAAATTTTATTAAATCAACAAAATGTATTTACCTAAAATAAAAATAAGTTCTGGTTTATGTAATTTGATAGCAGTTTGAAAAGCACATCCCATTTCCCATTCTCTAAAATAATTTTAGAAATACATCATTTCCTAAATTATAATAATTTCAGAATGCATATGTATTGTAATTTGTAAAGGAATTGGACTTTACGCATTAATATATTATATGTGTAGGTAATCGATTCACGTGTTAGTATATAATTGTTACTCAGGCAGAAGTGTTTATCCTTGAGATATGACCTCGACAACCAATTAAAAATATACATTTGGCAAACTAATCAAGAAAAGCGGACAACAAGTGGCGGCGCCAGTGATGTAAAATTTCATGTTTTCACTGACTTTTTGAATCTTTTCATGTTTTCATGAAACTTTTCAAAAAAATTGAAACTTAAAAATTGAACACTTATATACCTTTCATTTGTTTTGTATATGATTCAATAGCTTTTTTACACATCCAAATAATATTATCAAATTATTTAAAAGTGATTTATATAATGCAATTATTAGATGCTGGTCAATCATTGAATACAAATAATAATTATATTGAATATTATTACAAAATATTAAACATCACAAATAGCAAGTTCACAAAACATTGGCAATTTTAATTTTAAAAGTTCACAATTTTACGGACTTATGTAATACCAAAAAATATAAATAACCTTTGTAAACATAGACATTACCTATCTATTTTTTGATATTAAAAAGTTTTAATACTTTTCATTTCAATAGCCTTGAAACTTTTCAAATTTCATGAAAAGTTTCACTAGAAAATTTCTGAAACTTTTCAGCCTCACATCTTTGACAACAACATAATCGCCATTACGAGGCGGCAGTTTCACTCACTGTGAGAATACCCACTTTTTGAAACGGCTACATCCACCCCAAGGACACCTGAGTTCACGCGCCGACATCGTACATAGGAGCTCCAGGAGCACAGCACAATCAGATGTACCTGGACCAGAGCTTTAACAGCAAGAGCTACTGCACGACAAACAACGATATTACACTTTTATTCTGTTCTAATAAACAACATTGCATTTACTGTTCTGATTTAACTTCTATTTTATTTCAAATCATCATCTTTCTGGATCCCTGAAGGAGCAACACGTAACAGTATTACATATTATTTTAAAATAGTGGTTTTATATTTATAGAGTAGCTATTGCTTATCTATGATAAATCTTTCAAAGATAATTTTTTAAATAATAATTAAATATTTTGTTAAAACTGCCTCTTATTGATTTTTATTGTACACTAGCTGTAATGATCCAGGCAATTACACATTTGTATCAACTAAATTATTAAATTAAGGAATACTTATTTAATTATTTTTTATTTAAAATCATTGTATACAGTGTGATTAACAAAAACAAAAAGTATTTATTGGTTTTAACTATTGAGTTATTACAATAGATACTTGAAGTTGTAAAATTAACTTGCTAAACTAAATTAAGAAGTTGATTTTTTTAAACTTTTCATCAAAGTTTGGCATAGTTAAGATGGCATACCTCTGCTTATTTAAAATGTTAATAATAAATAATAAAGAAGTATATAAAATATATTATATACTTCTTTCAGAAATATTTGCATGGACATTTTAAATTACCGTATCATTTTATCAAGCCAATGTCCTTTCCTTGTACCAAGTAAATGTGTGTCAGCTAAAAACATAACTTTAACAGGTTGCTCTGATGTCATGTTACTATCTGAAGGCCAATTGCACTAGAAATTAAGTTACAATAATTTTTAAATAAAATTGTATTATTATCACTATAGGCTAAAATTTCAAAGTGTACATAGGGCCATGTACATGTTTAAAACAAATACAATTTGAACTCTTACTTGTGATAAGACGACGTAATAAATGCCATATTCACAAAAAAATATTAAACCACTGATGCACAGCAAATATCTTATGAATTTCTTAGTAATGAGACTAAGAAGCTTAATCATTGTGGACTTCCTGAATTTTCCTAACTGAAGCGGAAAAAATTAATATCCACCGTTGGTAGATTGTGTACACATAAGTACAGAACGTAAAATAATTTGAGATTCGCATAATTCACATAATTCTAGTAGTTTTGAAGTTCCAAGGATCTAACAGCTAGCTAGGAAGCTTATACACTTGTATACTAGACATAATTAGTGACGACCACCGACAAGACATAATTTTATATTTACCTACTAGTTACTAAATTTAATAATTAACATTCATTAATGTAATTATTAAAGCAATTGTTATAATACCTAACGATCGGTAGTCATTAATTATTGTCGGTACAACTCACAGATTTCTATATATTGAGTAGTATAGTCTGTGGTACAACTCGGCAGTCTTATCAATCACAACAAAAATGCTATCAAAATCAAACATAAATACATGACGTATAAAATAATTAAAATAACAATAATAATATTATCATAGAATAGATAATAATATGATAATATTTATTTATTATTATTCTATTCCGTGCGTGTTTAATAGGTAGTGTCTACACCCGCATAATATGTCGTCTCCGTCTTACGAAATATTTAATGTACAACGTAGCAAAAACTGTTATGTGCTGGAAAGAACCAAGGAGGCTACGATCTTAACTAAGAAACGATAATTTCACCACATAAAAAGGAGAACTTTGGCTGTGCAACGACGTTTTTATTTTTTTTGATATCATTTATATGAAAAGAGTTTTTCGAGTTTGAAACAATAATGGTTTTTGAAACAGAACAAGAACTTTTTTCATACAAGTGATATCTAAAGAATAAAACAACGTTGCACAGCCAAAGTTCTCCTTTTCATGTGGTGAAAATCTCGTTTCTCAGTTATGACTGTAGCCTTCTCGGTTCTTTCCCGCACAAAACCGTTTTTGTTATGTTGTACATTTTGTAAGACCGAGACAACAATTGCGGGTGTAGCGTCCTCTTAATTTTTACTTTTATAGTTTATTAAAGGTAGTACACTTGTCTGAGTACCTACTTCAATTTTATAGAATCTGATCTTTTGTAATACTGTAAAAGTGTCGACTATTTAGTATTTACCTATATGCTTTATTACGAAACGGTTTTCAAATACTTTCACTTTCTTTTTGTGTTGGCTATGACCGTTTTTTAACGTACATTCGTACATAATAGGAAGTAATGTTGTGTCATGAAGTACCTATCCTGTATGATCATTGGCCATTTCTCAAATACATTTTTAATAAATCACAGGTACATTTAAGCTTTATGACAACTTTTACAAAATTTCACTACATGCTACATGCCATCACAAAATGTTTACTAGAAAAAAAATAAATAGTAAAATTTCTTTTATTTCTTGAAAATTATTAAGTCAAGTTGTTATATTTTTATATAGTTTTATATACATGACCTAACTATATAGCTGACCTAGTAATTAGCATTAATTTCATCCCTTTCCAAATTGTTTACAGTTTTTAAGAGTATTCCAGAATATTATTGTAAAAATTAAATACAATTGAAAGGTTATGGGGAAAAACAACCATAGTCAAAAGAAAGAAAAAAATCAAATAATTATAGTACCTTTTGGTTAGTTTCATAACGAATCGACACATGAATTGAGTTGTGGAAAAAACATCACGGTCAATGATATAATACAGGTTTAAGTATTACCATAACGGGGAAAAAAGACTAGAGTTCCACTTTAAAACTGCAATACTGAACATTTTAGGAATATTGACTATTATCGTTTTTCCCTGTAACCCTTCAATTGTATTTGGGAATTTATTAAATTATTTTTAATCGGCTTATTGCTCTGGCTGTTAATTCAGACTAATTGCAATTATAAATATGGAATTTATACAAATCACTCTAAAGGAAACTGTTTAATTATTGTTTTTATAAATACTAAATAGGCATACAATACAATTAAATAAAGAGTATAACAATGTAACATCATGTTTAAGTGACTATTAGCTCACTATTGATTTAATTAATGTTTGGTGATTGTCAAATTTTTAGGCAAGTCATTTAAGTCACAATTTAAATAATTATATTTGTATTAATAAAATATCTATCCATTTAAATATTAGTGTTTTTCCTGATGGCAGTCACAATCAATTCCAAAGATAAAACAAAGATAAGGTACCTATTATAAAAAAAATAATAAGCAAAAGAATATTCGATTCTCATGGGCCAAATCTAAATGTATGTGATAGAAACCTTAGGTATAATATCCATCAATAGGAGTTCAAAAAATAAGATAAAAATATCCAAGTCTTAAAGATTCTATTGATATAACTTTTATTGAAAACGGTCACTTAGCTTATGAAATTAATACATTTAAACATATAAACGCTTCAGCTTTATAATATTAGTATATAAGTACCTATAGTCTATAAGCTGTAGATATAAGAAAGAAAAGAGTAGGTATTGTTGCTTAGTAAGTGACAATAAGAACTTGTAAAAAATGTTTAATACAATTTTTAGAGTAGGTACTATAGTATTAACTATGTAGTCCAAATTTACAAAATTAATAAATTATTTATTTGAGAGAGGCGGTTTTATTGGGGGCAGGTTTATACTGTTTAGCTGGTTCCTGAGGCATTTGGTTTTAAGGTCATACTTTCTAAACTTAATTATGTTTTGTCCAATATTTAAAAAAAAAACAGTGACATAACTTTATTCTTGATAACTTTTGTTATTTTATTACTATAAGCTGAATTCTATAGAAAATATTTTGATACTTATGGTGCATACTGCATTAGTTATTATTCTTATTTAAGATAGGTACGGGTTTAAAATGGTAATCTAAAATGTATCTATTTCTTACCTACTTATTTTGCCTTGTAGTTTTTCACCAGTAATTACCTACGACTTACAAGTGTTAAAGATCTTTTATTAATACAATAATTATACCTATTTCCAGTTACTAATTAGGCAAATATTGTGAAAAAAGACAATTATTTTATATTATGTTCTTTATTCTGTAAATAAATCATTTGTTCACGAGTAACGATTAAATTAATAAACCTAACCAATTTATGTAATTATGTTACCATGTAGTATGTGTTGTTTTCAACTATTAAAAGAAAAATCTTCCATTGAAATATCCATTTGCACTTGAGTGGTCAATGTGCTACCTATAAGTCTTTTTTTTTAAATACTGAATTTCCAAGTATGAAGTAAAATTAATATAACTTAATATATATTTTTAATACTTAACATTAGAAAAATTAGAATATTATATTTTTTAAGACAACATTTTATAAAGAAAACAATTATATGAATAGCATATTATGTAATATTATTTAAAAATGTAATTTCTATACCCGACGCAAAATAAGAAGATGACTGCGCGGTGGACCGTTTTGAGTCCGTTTCGCACAGTCGGTTTTTGATTGGTTCCCCTAAACCCCCGGAAGTGGTCGCAAGGACGTGCGGTGGAGGAAGTTGTTTTGCCTGTGCGACTAGTCATCTTCTTATTCCGCGGCGGGTATATGAGAATCTTAAATTTAAAAATCAATTAATTGTTATAGTCTGTTTAATGTAGAATACAATTAATATTTTGTATTTCAATCTTTTTTTTCATCAAATGTTTATGTTTACTACAAATATTTAAATTATCTGCTTTTACTTAGATACTTAGATGATAAATTTAAATTACCACACAACCATTGAATAATTTCTCTTACTTTTTTTAAAGTATTTATTAGGCTGTTTTAATTATGAATTATTTGTTCATAATGTTCAGATCTAACAAGTAATAGTTATACTTAAATATTTAATGTAATAAAAAAAATTCCATTATTTGTTTTAATAGATAATCATTTTAATTGAAGAATAATTATAAAAAAAATATTTCCAATTTGGAATAATTAATTTGTTTTATTTCATAGAAAAAAAATATATTAGCTATAAAAATGTTTATCATAAAATTTCAAATAATTTCTTGAGCTCAACCATCAATTGCCAGTCAGTTTTCAATAAATCATCTCTAAAATGATCTTTGCATGCATCAATCGACTGCCTGGATATTTTGCTCACCAATATATCCTTTTCATCAAAATGCCTTCCAAACATTTTTGGGGCATCACCTGGTATTGGCTCAATTTTTATACAAATTTCTTGTCCTTTTCTAGCGGTTTCAACAGTTTTGTGGTTGTTTTCTATGCTGGTCACAATGCCTAACTCTACAAATTCCTTACTAGGAACACAAATAGGCGTACCTTCTTTTACAATTCCAGACTCTACCATTACTCCCATAACAATTGGATCTCTTGAATTAAACACAAACTGTGGTAAGACTTTAAGTTTGCAAGGAAATACTGCAATAGACTTAAACTGATCTCGATTTTTCTTTTTAAGATCATCCTGATAAGCGGTAAACTTATCAAATAAATGGTATATAATATCAGCTTGGAATATTTTAACATTTAATGTATCTGCTAATTCTTGTGCATCTCTTTCAACTTTAACATCAAAAGCTAATATAGTAGCATATATAGGAGAATGTTCCAACATTATTGATGCTTTCATAACATCTTTTTTAACTACGGGACCAATTCGTATGTTGCTATATGGTATTTTACTAGATCTTAAGAAGTCCAATAAAGCTTCTAATGAACCCAATGTCGAAGCTTGAACATAAACACCTCTATCTTGTAATTTTATAGTACTTAAAGCAGACTTTAATTCTTTTGCTACTACCTCTTTAAGTCGCTCGACTTCATCTGCTTTGTTGGCTACATAAATATTTAAGCCTGCTATAGCTTTTTCTAAATCTTTAGCAGCAATTTTAACACCTTGAGCGGCTTTAATTTCTTTATATTCAATATAAGCATTTTTCACTCTAAGTTCTTTCAGAGGTTGAGGCATTAGTAATGATCTAATCTGAGTGACAACAGGCCCATCAGTGCCTGCTACAACAATTGTATCTCCTTCTCTAAGGTAACCATTTACTAAAATAGTATCAATAGTAGTTCCTAAGCCAGTTATAGCTTTTACTTCCAATACAGTGGCTTGCAGCTCTGTATTGAAAACAAGTCTTTTATATAAATGTGTTTGACAATTTTCAACAATAAGATCTAATAAATTTCCCATTCCTTCACCAGTAATGGCCGATGTAGGTACCAAAGACACATACGATTTTGGATCAGGATTTTCAAAGAATAAAGCAGCATTTAAACCTTGTTCGGCAAATTGTAATATAACACTTTGGGATCTTGTTTTAAATTCATTTTGAGTATTTGCATGCTGAGAGGTCAAAATATCTCTAACATCTTTACGTGGATTGGTCTGCCAATCATACAATCGATCAATTTTATTTAAAGCAACAATAAATGGTGTTTTCTTAGTTTTCAATATATTGATGGATTCTATAGTTTGTGGTTCTAAACCATGCATAATGTCGACTACTAAAATAGCAATATCACATAATGATGAGCCTCTTGTACGGAGGTTGCTAAAAGACTCGTGACCAGGTGTATCAATAATTAATAATCCGGGAACTAAAAACTTTCTAGTTGCATAACCATTTACAACTTTAGTTTGTTCTTTTATAGCATGAAGTGGAACATTTGTAGCTCCTATTTGTTGGGTTATACCTCCGGCTTCACCATCTTGAACATTAGTTCTACGAAGCTTATCTAATATTTTAGTTTTACCAGTATCTACATGACCCAAAACACATACGACAGCAGCTCTTAGATCAGATTCCTCTTCTTCATTTGACGAATCTTCATTTTTAGTTTGAACTTTTACAGCTTTAGCTACATTTTTATTATTCTCAGGATTGTCATTATTTTCTTCATCTGATTCTTCAGATTCGCCATTTTCATCTTCTTTGTCTACAGTTGAAGGATTTAGTAATGCTTCTCTTTGCGCTTTATAAGTTTCTAAAAGTAATTGGGCACGGGCTCTATCAGCTTTTTGTTTAGGTGTTAAGAATTTTCCTTCAGCTTTTAGTCTTTCCTTTTTTTCTTTTTCCTTTTGCTTTTTCTTGTCTTTCTTTTCTTGTTCTAATCTTATTTTTTCTTCTTTTTGTTTCTCGAGTTCTTCTAAACGTTTTTCTTCTTCTTCCTCTTCCCTACGGAGTTTTTCCTCTTCTTCTTTTTGTTGTTGTAATACTTCTTTTAAAGCTGCAATAGCCTTTTTACCAGGCCCTTTCTTATCTTTGGCTGGGACAACTGGCTTCTTTTTCTTCTTTGCATCATTAGTCGACATTCTCTAAACAATTGTGAAATTAACACTGAAACAAAAAAATCAAATTTGAGCATAAAATATAGGTACTGATAAACAAAAAGTAATCAATTTGAACATAACCATGATTCTAAGAATAGCCATATACAGATTAACTAATAAAAAGTACATATGAATATTTTTTTTTGTCAAATGCAAATTGTCCCATAGCATACTTATAGACCGTTATACTACCTATATAATTGGAATTTGTACAGATCAGATAATAACAATAATAATAAATACATATTGGAGAATTTTAAAATTAAGTTACATAGATAACCAAATATTTTCTCTATTAAATAAATACATATATTTCACTAAAATTATAGTATTTGTTTACGTAAGTAATATTATTTTTTATTAGAATATTTATGATTGTTAATGCAATATTTACCTACAGTAAGACAATAGGTATCATTTTTTTTTTTTAGAATTTATTCTTTGTTTTAAAAGATAATAATACATTTTATCTTTTATAAATTGAAACAAGATATCTCATTGTTTTATAATTTATCAACATAATGTCATATCTAATTATTTATATTTTATTAATTTTATAAAATATGTAAAAACATATTATTATATCACATAAATTGATCAATTTTTTATTTAACCATGCTTATAATATGTATTAAAGTAATCTTTATACTTATTTTAACAATGAATTGAATGAATTATTTAGGTACTGCGCAAAATATTATCACCATTTACGACAAAAACATACAGTTTTAATGAGGATAGACAAAGTTTATCATCTAGTCTAAATTTGTTATATGGTGATTTTATAATATTATGTACCTAATAAAATAATCTAAATCAACAGATTGATTCAATTATTTATATTTTTTAAGTTAGATGGAATGTAATATTCTATACAAATATGTTTATTTATGTTAATTAACTATGAAGATAGATTAATTAAAATGTAAAGAATTAACTATAGATTGTTAGGAATATACAACAAATAATATTTTAGAGATAGGTTGATAGGTAGTCAAGTATGTAATATTAGTTTTTGTATAATAACATAAATGTATTATAGTAGTATTGCAAATTACATATTATTTTGCCTAATTTTGCTCTGAAAAAGTATTGTTTTAAAAAGGTATTTAATTAAATTAAATTATAAGAAATAAAAATATAAAAGTAAGTTTTAATTATTTGTTATTAATATTTTTGGAAAATATAAGTTACATTTATTAATAGTTAATCATAGTTAAATATTTACATACAGGTACTTGCAGGACGTATTTTTGTAGAATTCAACAAATGGTATAACATAACAACAATAAATTATATTTTGAGTGTATAGCGTTAATTATTAAGACTTAAATTAGATTTGGTATCAATATTCTATAGGCAAATTGATCAATCCACATTAGTTCTGAATTAATTATAACATTTGATAGCCTAAATGCAACAGCAGTTTATCACATATCTGATTTTGTATTTTCAATACTATCTCATATATTCTGTTGACTGTTCCATTTGAATTTTATGTATATACCTAAACTTATTTCATTTATACAAATAAAATAAAATAATTTATCTATTTTGAAAGCGGCAAAATTAAATGTTACAATAATAATTTTTAAATATTTGTACAGTCGTACAGATGTTAGGTATTTAAAGTAAATTAGGTATACATTATACACACTAATAATTGAATATACCTATATTTGAGTAGATACAACTTCTATATTTTTTTGTAATGTGATGGTCATGTTATAATTAGTGTTTATTAGTACACTAATAGTACATAATAAATTTAAGTTAAATTATATATATATTACTGTTAATGATGTACCTAATTTAGATTAATAATCTAAGTTCCTAATCAATAACATGAACAGATAATATAGACAATATTATCTATTTTTTTTTATATGCATAGTCATTTTTCTGAAGAAGTTTCAATTACTTTAATTAGGTATTTACTAAAAACCAATTTTACCACTCTACTTCAACCTATTATTATTATTTTTTTAATAATTAATTGTACTAATATTATATATAGGTATAAATTTATTTTATTGATGAAGGAGGCTGAAAATGTATAGTCATTACCTAGGGAATTTTGCCAAATGTATCATTGCCTTAAAATCATATCTATTAGGCATTAAGGTTATATCCTAGTCAATATTTTTAATTCAAACATTTATTAAATATAAGAATTAAATCTAACCTAGTAAGATATAAAACTATATACCATTTATATGGTATTATTATAATATTTTAAACCTAGGTAATTGATTAGTTCTATTTATCACACATACACAGCATTTATACTGGTTAAACTACAACTCTTAATGAAGTTTGGTTGAAAATTGATCGCCAATATGTCAGCCATGAAATTTGTTGAAATTTAAATGATAGAAATTAAACTTCGTCTAATTATGTACCTGTAATTTTATATTTATTGATTTTCGTTTACGATTTGAATAGGTAATCTGTATTCTGTAAAAGTGATGAAACACACATGCCAGTTATGACCACTGTAGGCTCAGCCGGGTACACATTGGACACGTTTTTCCGGAGATACGCAAAAACAGACTCGACCATGTGTGTACGGCAAATTAATACTCGTCGACCTGGACCACGTAAATCCAACGTCAGACGTAATCCAAAACCGTGAGGTAGTGATCGTCCCGTGGCCAACATCGGCACGATGGCTATGTGGCAGAGCGACGGTATTGCATAACGGTAGCGTACATGACAGACATCGCGCAAGACCTGATCACATACGATTTACAAAACGATTTACTCACCGATGTTAAGTCCAAGCAAAATCAGTCTGCCTGCAGTCTTGCCTAACGAATATGTTACAGAAATGTAGATGCAAATGACAAGAAACCTCGACGCTGACAAAACGATAGTCGCGAATCGCCGTGTTTATCTCCACCCGACACACGGTGCTTCTTATCACAAACTGTTATCAACGGACGTGGTGGTGCCATAGAGAATACTATTATTGTACGCGGTTGCGTCAGAGACTTCTATACGTCTGTAGTTCTGTATAATATATTATTATAGAAATCTGTGCGCTGTGTACAACTACTCCAAGACCCAAGTTCTTCTTATCGGCTGTTGCCCCCCACCGACCATAGACGGCTCTCGCCATAGACGTATAAATAAATAATATAATAATAATTGTTATTATATTTTATGTAATAACCATGCCTCTCGCTCTGGTTTCAACTTTCAAGTGTTATGCACTTATGCGCCGCCGCTCGGGTTTGAAAACGTCGACACGGTAGACACTAACACGGGAATACATTAATATTAATTGCATTATTATTTATTACTTCTGAGGATACTGGCTATGCAGAACCGTAGTAGATAATTAAGATCGCAGGTTGTTATTAATAATATTATAATACCTATATTATATTTATTGGAAATTGGAATATGTACCGATGTGTAAATTCAAACTCTTGTTTAGGAGAGGGAAATAGAACCACTTTATGTTCAATTCCAACAGTTACACAACAAGCCATACAATTTATAAATTCATAACCGTATTGCATTATTATACGATATACGTAGGTACGCTAGTGGCGTCATTTGGAGGGGAGGCAACTGGGGCATTTGCCACAGTCTAATATTTACATCAATCTTAAGTCGGCACATTTACCACACACCCTCCCCCCACCCTTAAATACTATGGCACTATGCTATGAGAATCTGAGTGAAAACAATTTTGAATCGGAAAAGCAGTGAAAACACTGTTAACAAATTACAACCTGTTTGTATAACTGCCCTGCAGTGGGCTACCATCGGACCATGAAATACACTATACACCAGTGTTGTAGTATGATTTCTGAAAGGGAGGGGGGATCAAAAAAAAAAACTACATGGCTAAATGGGAGGGTAAAATTGGAAAATCCCCCACCCTCTCAAAACTTTTTACTATGGTAATAAAAAGCCAATTGTATACTCCACTGCTATACACTGAGACACGATATATAAATGCTTGGGTACAAATGGTACAATACTAAAATATTTACCTATTGCCGAGGGGCACATGTTGAATAGGTTGTATCAATAAGCATCTACTAAATAGTAAATAATATTTTAATATAGGTACCTACTACCTATCGTACCTATACTGCACCTATATACTGCTATATATCAACAGCGTAGCGTAGCTAGGAATTGTTTAAGGGAGGGGAAGGTATATAGTAGAATATACGCCTTAGCAGCTCCAGCTCTGTATACCTATAAAATATATACTAAATTACTATAGTAATTAATAGCACTTTGATAGTAGATACCTCAACAACCACTATCGTCACTATTAGTAAAAATACTTTTAAAAAGTACTAAAAGGTGCATAGCTAGTGCTGTGCAGGACACCTCAAATTTATAATTATTTATCGATTCCGGCTCTCAGTAGGTATTTTTTAGTTGTATGCGATGGTTCAGAATTTTAAAGAAACGAAACACTAACACGTCTATAAAATAAACATTTAACGTATATTATCAGTAAAATAAAATAAAATTTAATATTATTCATATTTAATTTAAATATACGTTAAATTGTACTCGCTAAGTGTTTTGTTTAACATTCAAATTCTCTCCTACACCCCCCGTTTGGTATTAATCAGTCACTGCGGATTCACCGTATACCACTGATGGTCGACGTTTTATTAGTTACCTTAATATATCAAGTAACATTAGTAACATTAATGTAGAGGGGCCTAACTTCTAGTACTTGAACTGATCAAATTTTGATTTGAGGAAAGATAATTAGTTATATTGGTATGTTTTATTTATATTGTCTCAGATAGTTAAAACAAAATGTAATATCTAGCTCACGTAACACTCGAATATTAATACATTAGAAAATATACATTTTGAAGCTTTAATTGCGGCTATCTCTCCACTAAGTGGTATTTAAAACTTTTAGAATTTCATAAAAATGATATACCAGAAAATGGTGTTAACGCAGCAGTAACCGAATTTGATTTATGGTATCAAAAATTCCAATGCCCAAATCATTCATTACCACATAATGCAATCGATGCATTAAATTTGTGTAATGATACTCTATTTGAAACTATATTTATACTTTTAAAAATATTCTCAACATTGCCTGTTTCGACCAGTACAACAGAAAGATCATTTTCCACTTTGAGAAGAATAAAAACATACTTGAGAAATACAATGAGTCAGAATCGACTGAATGGATTAGCTATGCTTCATATTCACAGAGAAATAGATGTTCAAACTTCAGAAGTACTCTCAGTATTGGGGAAAAAAGGACCAAGGCGTCTCAACTTTATAATTTAAAATGTTAGACTTATAAAAAATAATCATTATATTATTCATAATTAAATAAATAATATTTATGTTTTACAGGTATAACATCAAGGCTACGGCGACACTTAAAACCGGGACAAAAATAAAAAAAATTTGTTAGTAAAAGATTGTAAAAAAGCTTAAAGATTACTGTACATATTTCAAAATAAATACTACCTATTAATATTAAAATTATGTGAATTTAGCCCTCCCCCAAAAAAAATCCTGGGTGCGCCCCTGCTCCACTTGCTTGAATTATAAACATCAAATATTAGAAATTAATTACCTTCAAAATTCAAGTATTTTGTGTGGCAAAACGATATACTATCCATACCACTTTCAGACTATAGTGATACCTATGGGCTATGCTCGTCCGTGCATCTGACCGTGATCATTAACGACGGTAAATCAAATGAAAACGATACAACAAAATTATAATAGTGAAATTTAAAAAAAGGTTTGATTAACCGTTTAATCTTTAATGGACAGTATTTTTTTCAACCACATCCATCTTAATACGGTCATGACTCATGACGATCGTTTTTTCTAGAATATACCTATTTTTCTTTTTTTGCTCACTTATGATATAACACGGCGTTATGTATAGGCAATTTCAATATTCGATCAATCACGTCTTGTACAAATTGATAGCCATGATAATTTATAATAATATTATATTAATTATTGGTATTTTTGTACATTATCAGCTAAGACAGTGTGTACATATTATAATATATTTATTTGTATTTATTTACATGGATGAGCATTTCTGCCTGCAAGAAGAATAGCTTGAGCCTTTGCGGCAAATGGTAATAAACTGTCAGAAATTTCATAACATTCTGCAAAAGTAATATGATTTCTATTCAATAGTTATATATTGTAAAAATTAGTTTCACACACCCATCACAATGAACACAGGTAAAATCAGGGGGGGCTATAGGGAGGCAACATGAGCAACAGTTTTTGGACGTGATACTCGTATGCTTTGTCTCCATCTTATTGATAACGTTATTATATAACGTACTTATCTATCGTATTAAAAAAAATTACCTAAAATAGGTACCTATAATAAATTCCAAATTAATCATATCACAATATCCATTAGATACTTATAACGCGTTATACATCAACAAAAACCGTGATACTATCATAGATATATAATAGTACACTTTAGAAGTTTCAAGTACCCACGAATAATATTATTCAATCACAACAAAATAACTAAAATCGTAATTCTTGGTTTAAATATGAAATTTTGTCTAAATTTGAAATTAAAATGTCTGTAAAAAATAAGTGTGTTTATATATTTTTTAGATTTTTTGGTTACAGTATGAATTATTTAAGAGAACCTTTGTTTTAAATTTTCAACTCTTAGTTATAAAAACTGAACGTTTTATAATTTTTTAATTCCAACGATTGATAATTTTCGAGATTTCGATAAATTTTGTCAAAATTCCAACTTTAAATGCTTATAAAAAAAAATCGTGCCTATGTATTTTTAATATTTTTCAACTGATATTGTAACAATATATCAGGAGCCTTGTATTAAATTTTTACACTTTTTGGCCCAACAGATAAAACTTTATTGATATTTATAGAAAAAAAAACTAAAAAAAATTGAAAGCTGTAAATGTCCATAAACAGCTCAAAAAGAGTCAAAATATTTTCAAAAGTGTATGGTGTATAGGAAATGCTAATATAAACATTCAGTGAAATTTTCATGTTTCTACAGTTATTTGTTTTTGAATTACAACAAAATAAGGAAATCGCTACATGAGTAATCGAGTGAAAATCCAATGTTGTAAAAATTTGAATTTCAAACGCTCATAAAAATTTAATTTGACTGTCCGGTAGAGATTTTTTTATTGATAAAGGTAGATAATCTTATAAGGAATCTTGTGTTTCATTTTCAAATCTTAGATTTAAAAAGAAAAATTTTTACGAATTCTTAACTCAAAATAATTTGCTAATTTTCGTGATTTTTCCATATTTTGTCAATTTTTGAACTTTAAATGCTTATAAAAAAAAATTGTGACTAAGGATTTTTAATATTTTTCATCTGCCTTTGAAACAACATATTAGGAGCCTTCTATTAAATTTTCAAGCTTTCGCAACCAACAAATAAAATTTTATTGATATTTTTAGAAAAAAAACTAAAAAAAAGTGGAAAATGAAAATGTACCTAAACAGTTCAAAATGAATCAAAATATTTTGAAAATGTTATCGTGTATAGAAAATGCAAATATAAACAACCAGTGAACATTTCATGTATATACGTTAATTTGTTTTAGAGTTACACCAATAACCAAAATCGATTTTTTTTGGAAAACCAGTTTTGCGTAAAAATTCCCGTACGTAAAAACTACTGGGAAATTTATACTTTTGACCCCCCAAAGTACCAACTAGATTCACTTTCCTATCAGAAAAGCTACTGATGAAGAAAATCCAAGCACTTTTACTGTCCTAAAACGTGATGACAGACACAAAAATATAAAAAAAAATATAAAAACATACATCATTGTAAAACCAATACATTCATCGCTCCGCTCAGAATCTAAAATTAAATGTTATTTTACAGTTTTATAAAACTGATGGCCTCGTATACGTCAGGGACTGTCTGGACTAGTTGAATTATAAACTGATAACAAAACATATTTACAGGTCTATTTATTTCCTAACCAAGTTAATCATTATTTTCAACATAATGTGATGATTTCCTATATTGGCTATATTTTGTATAATATGTAGGTATATATTAATTATTATGTATATTATGAAAATATACCCTAAAATAGCGCTATAAACTCTAAATTAACAAAATAGCAATAAAAATTGTAAATATGCAAAAACTAGCAAAATAAAATTTCGTGTATGACATCAGAGAAGTGTGATACATATTTGTATCTTCTTATAGATGTCCTAAGACGAACCAAGACAAATATGCATATTTTGCTAGAACTTCCGAGCCCTGAATTGATGTACATTGATAATAATTAAATGTTATTCCGTATTCGTAATTCTCGTACAAAATGTATAAGTATTATATCGTTTACTAATATCTCATGTCATAATAAGCAGGGCTCGTAAGATCTTGCATTTGCATACCTACCAATCTTGCTAAGTCGTATTTAATACTAGAGGACGTAGAAATCCATTTCAAGGTACCATGGTTATTATTGGTTAAGTATGTGAAGTTTTCTTTGCCTAGTCGGCATATTTATGCGTTTTTCTATTTTATTGGGCATATTTAGGCAATTTATCATGTTTTTGACCAACATTTGATGAAAGATGCAATAATTTATATTTTTAAATTGTATAAAATATATTATGAGAATCGATTTAAAATTTTCGAATTTTTGTTATAAAATTAATGACTGACAGGATATTTATTTTATTAGAATTATTATTTATAAATAGATATTTTTAAAATTTATTTTTGGAATTACATTTCAACAAAATGTAAAACAATTTTTAAAAATATCAATAGATGTATTTTCTTGTTATTACCAAAATGTCTTGTTTTTTTTTTTTTAATCTGCATAATTTTAGTGCATATAAATTCATTTTTCTGAACTTTTTTAGTCATATTTCAATGCATACTTATAAGGCCAGATTTTAATGCATAAATGAATGAAATACATATTTTGGCCTGAACTTACCAGTCATTTGAATTCAAAATATTATATAAAAAAAAACAGATCTACCTATAGTTAATATAATTAAAATACAAATATTTTACAAGAAATTACATTTTGCTAAATAATGAATTATGTATTATAAGTTCATAGGTAACTAATTATTAAGTTAAAATATTACAAAAAATATTTTGGTGAATATATCTAAAATAACACCTAATAATAATATACTCATTGTGTTCACAGATTTAAGCTAAGTTTTTAGTTATTTTAAAATGTGCTTATGAAGACCCATACTTTCATACCTTTAATGCCTTTTGTCTACATCTTTCTAATTTAAATAGCATTTTTATTAACTAGATTTCTTGAAGAACCAATAAGACTGACAAACGTTAATACATTATTATGCTGTTTCTACAGTTCTACACAGACCTCAGAAGTAAACACTATACCAGGGATCATCAACCTTATTAGGCAGCTATATTACATGTCTAAAAACCTAACCTATTATATTTAAAAAAATCTCGACGGCCGTATTTGTAACAAAAGCATGTTTACGTGAAAAATACATGCTATGCTTAAAATTTGTTTGCGTGACTTGAATAAAGACAATGCAGGTTCCTTGCAAGTTGAAGTTCCGGTACTCTACAGTATTCCAACTATTTTTTTGGGGTAAACCAACACTGATTGTAAGATACAAAATTAATGTAAACAAAATATTCGTTATTATATTTTATAAGCAACAATAGATTAAAAATAAACTATAAACAAATGGCATATATTTCAACAACAAAAACTTAAAAAAACATAACAATAAAAATCTTAAAGAAATGTTCTAATTAACTTTTAATTTTAAGTTATAAGGCAACCACAAAAATTGAATTCACATTATGTCATAGTAAATAGTTTTTATACAGTTTGAAATCTCATCAATGATCAATATAAAAATAAGTACAAATAACATTTTAATCTTTTAGGTATAAATAAAATATATACATTTTTAAAAATGTTTTCTTTTAAATGTTATCCATTGTTAATAAAAACTTTCCATTTAAAATAAGTTTTTTTGTTAAAAATGTTAATTTATACTTCTTATTATTAACATAAATTATATAAACTAAAATAATAATGGCTTGTTAATACAATTTAGTATATTGATTGCTCGGCAACATAAACTGTTGATTTTAATTGGATCAATTATCAATTAGTTGTGTTTAAAGAATGAATTTTGAATTAAAATAAAATTTATTATACTCTGATATTTTCATACAATCAAATTAATTGAACTACTTGACTTCTACTATAAATTAATATTTTGAGTGTAATCATAATCTATAGTTGGTATGACTGATTGAACAAATTTCAAAAATATAATTAAATACATGTGTACTCCTAAATCTCTCCCACCGTCGGTCACCATTTGGATTAACTTTTTCATAATATCGGCATGCCTGTAAATATTTAAAAATCATTAATTGGATGCCAAAAAACTTAATATTAATTAAAAATGTAATAATAGTATTTATATTATATTTTTATAATAATATTAGTTGTTTTTAAAAATATACATGTTCACATGGATAGGGGTTGATGGGTATTTGCCATTCTAAGTTAAGTAGTTCAGTATGTTAATTACCCACATTTGAAGAGGTATTACTAATAGAAATAAAAATTGTCTTATTGATATTATTATTAATTCATGAAATCAAATTTTAATGATACACAGTAACAAATTCAATCAATTTAAGAAATCAAATTAATTTAAACAATTGTATGGAATGGTCAGTGTCAGATACGAGTTTATATTTTCTTTTTAAAATGTTATGAACATTATACTATTTAGTGGTAATTTGTGTACTATAATATTGTTTATACCTAATATAAACAATGTATTATGAAAAAAAAACAAAGTTGATAATAGCTGATAATTTTGTTACTTACAAATCTAATAATTTTACTTTCTACATAAAAATATTATTTATAACACATAATCACAGCGTATTATGCCAATAGACAGATAATAATGATTATAATTTTTATTTAATTTGGCAGCTGCCTCCCCTGCAAAATGTTCTGCTCCCATGAGATCTTCCGTCAAAGTACTTATAATATACTGTTTTTTAAAAATAAAATATATAAATATACTTTCCAGTATGCAATCTCAAAATAGTAAATAATAAAATTATAATATTGTATTATATTATATTATATTATACATAGGTAGGAATATGTTTTTAATGTTAACTGATAAGACAGCTTTATCTGTGGTTACTGGTTTGTTCTGTGAAAACTGACAGTACTGACTTTTTATACAGTAGTTAACCGCAAATCGATTCTAAAATCCTACAAATTTATTGAAATAAATTGAAATAAGAACAATAAATGTGAAGAACGAATAAAATGGTTCACTTGTTGTGATACACAGAATATTTTTCTCGGTGTCTTCTTGCCTCCCATCTCAAGAGGACTTGCGTACGCTTATGTGTGTTATGATAAATAAAATGTTGGTATATTACAGTTTTATAGAAAATATATAAATTTTGTACCTAAAATAATTTGAATCAAGCAATATGACCCTTATTTATTTATTCATTAATTCTTTAAGTTTTCCCTGATTATGATGTGTACCACTCCAGTCCAAAAAAATCAGGATACAAAATTAATATTGGAGTAGTCTTCTTCAGCATTTATAAAGTAAGAATACTGTTGGGATTTAACAATATATATTTCATAATAAAAATTATATAAAAAAGGTGAATACCAACAACTTCTTTATAAGTGAATTTATTTCATCATTTTATTTGTTATAAATCATAGTTCAGGTTTTTAATAATGCGTTTTCAATAATCATGTACAAGATCATTTTTATTGAATTTGAAATTATAATTATTGCTCATAAATGCTTTTAACCATTCATGAATAATGTTATTTTGTCAAGGCACTTTGCTGGCCGCACATTAAAATCTTGACCAAAACACATTACGGTAGATTGTAGGCCGGGCAAATTAGTAATATAAAACTAGGTGTTATGGATATTAATATATAAAATTAATAATAAGCAAACAAAAAAAAGAACAATACTATCTTAATTATGTAAACTCGATTTTATTAAAAATGTACATACTTGCAGGGATGTATTGAAGCCATAGAAGGACCTGGAACATGTGGGTGAGATTCCATGGTAACAGTTTTCTTAGCATAATCTTGACTTACATCTTCATACATTTCTTCAACACTTAATGGTACTTGATTCTAGGATTCATAAACAATTATTTTTATATTAAAAGCAAGAAAAACTACCTTTATAATTTGATATTTAAGCTTCATATTGAGTAAGGTTTATGTAAGGTAACATTGTGTTAGGACTGACATCTGTTTTAATCATAATATGAATTTTATAGTATAAAAATTAAACAAAACATTGACTATGTTGCCAAAAATGAAATTAAGTTAAGTTTATTATTAGAAAGACAAGAATTTCACAGAAAACTTAAATTTAAAGAGTTTAAAAGTTAAAAACTACTCAGTTTTATTTTTAATGCAATACAATAACATTTTAAAATACTTACTTCATTATAACCATAAAGCCACAGTCTTGGAGTTTGGTAGAATTTGTCATAAGTAATATGTAAATCATATGTTCGGGTTTTTAATATTTCATCAACAGATGAGCTTGATAACTTTTTAGATTTTGTGTGTTCAGGATGAATAGTTACCTATAAAAACAATACAAATGCAAAATTCACCTTCATATTTTCTTTTTTAGATCAATAAAAGTTATTTGAAAAATATATGATATGTATAATAACTTTGTAAAATACTATTTAAAATATTACTTCAAAATAATATATACCAGAATATTAAATCCTTTTTCACTCAAGATATATTTGTTATGTTAAAATGTATTAGCAAATATTAATTAATAGAAATTATTGAAATAATGATTGTTCTTTAATAAAACAATCACCTGGTATATCTACTATCATAATAAATAGGTATTAATTTCTATTTTATACTGTATATATTTGCTATAATATGTTTTTTTATACAAATTTGAATATAACTTCATCATCCATTGTTATTTAATATTCATTTACTCACACATATAGTTGTTATTTTGTTAATTTTTTAACCTACTCATTAGATGTCTGTTCTTAATACAAATTAGAGCATTGATTTAAATTGATTTAAATACACAGATAAGCCATAGCATAAGAGTTTTTGGTGACTAAAAATATGCTGTCAGCCGCTAGGATTGCTGTACCCGTTTACATTGGGCTTAATATCTCTGAAAACTTAAATATGTATTTTAAAATCAATGGTATGATTAAATAGTAAAAAAAACTTCAAAGAAATTCTTTTAATAAAATTCAAATCAATTTATTTTATTAAATCTTATTTAATTGTTTTAAGGGGCATACTTTGATATTTTTTGGTCATATTTGCATGCATATTTTAAAGTTTAAAAGATCGAAAATATCCCAACCTCATTTTTAAATGATCAGTCAAGAAAATTAAAAAATAGATATTATTATGTATGAAATAAACTAACCGAATCGTCTTCAAGAAAACCACTTTCTACAAATGCATCCATATCTACAGCATCACCTTCTTCCTCGTCATCATCATCATCATCATCCGCACAAACTTTTTGAGTATCTACATTAATATTTCTTACATTTGGGTTTTCATTGGTTGCACTATTTAAAACATGATTATCCACGTTAAGACTTGTAACATTTAAACTGTTCAGGTTTCCCTACAAACATTTAAATATTAAAATTACGATAATTTATTTAAAAAAATACAAAATATGTTTACAATTTGTATTAAATTAAACAGTTAGTTAAACCATATTTATGAACTTTGTGATTAATATTTTAAACAAACTTAATTTTGATAAATCAGCTATTCATTTTTGAGATAATAATTACACATACAAAATATAAAATGATACAACATTATGGTCACAGGTATCTATTATTTGGGATTAACTTTTGAGAAGCATTTAAGATGGAATTTGCATGTGAATAATTTAGTAATGAGCCTTTGTATTTTGAGTTTGAGATACTATAAATTACGCAATATTGTACCAATGCTAGTTATTCCAACAGAGGAAATCTTGCTGCTAATGTTCTGAAACCTTAAAAGTTTATTGATCTAACAAAGACAAATAGCATAAATATGTTTACAGAACTCTACTCTTGAAGGATCAACTAGGTAGTCAAATTTTTTTAATAAATTACTAGTCGCTTATTATTCAGAAAAATTGATTATGTAAAAATAACTGTTCCTGACTGGTTATTTATATCTTTTATTGCTATTATTAGTTATATTATGTTGAAATGTGTTGTTGTATTATTTAACCAGTTTGTAACTAGTTAGATAAGAGTCCTGATAACCACATTGTTTTTGTTACTTGGTACTTTAATAAGCGTTCATCATTTTGTGTTTTAAAAATATTTTGAAGTTACCGTCTACTTATTTGAATAATAAATTGGTCTTAGTAGTCTTACATACTTCTAATGATATCCCAGATATTTTTTCACTCAAAGGTGAGGGTGCAGAATCAAAATGATGCGTCTCAACCCATCCTTCATTTCCATCTTCGGATTCCACAATATTTTCTTGAACTTCACAGTTCTCAATCTATTAAAAAAAAAATAATACTCCAATTAGGTATAGGTACCTAGATAACATATTATATTTATTTTTAAGTCAATTGAATCAAATTATTTACTTGTTTACATCGGCGTACACATGGAACATTTCTTGTAATTAAATATTGTTTGTTTTTTGGCAAATAAGATTTAGTCTTGCACTCGTCACCACAAGCCCATTCCCATGTTGGACATGTATGAACCAAGTGGTCACCAGCAATAACAAACTCAATTGGAGTCACTACACCAGTTTCTTTAAATTTTGATTCCTTTTAAATACACAGATCAATTTACAATTTAAATAAAAAATATAAAATCAAACAGTAATTGACGTAATAAACCTTAAATTTTGTTACAAGGAATTATAAATGTCACAGTACACACCTGGCCAAAGTGCACTCAGTACTCAGTAGACATGTTATATGATTTTTGTCTACTGTTTACTCAAGAAAAGATTACAAAATTTGAAGTTTGTAAGCAAGACTTGATTTGATTAAAATCGTATTTAAGTCTGGCACAACTTTTATACTTACACTGAAAAATATTAAGTACCTTTAAGACTGGAGTCAAAAATCCGGCAAAACCTAACGCAGTGCCCTTCACGCTATTGATAACGTTTTGCATGGTAATTTTGGTGTAGGTACTACTTTCAATTAGATGACTGGATGTACCTAGATACAAATAAGTATATAGATACTGTTCATGAGATCGAAATTAACCAGTTGGATTCACGTCGCCGAAAAACCTTTGCTGAAGGTAAGTAGGTACTAAGTAAATACTAACTAGTAATAGTAATAGTAATAGTAATAAGTTATGGTAATTAATGCACTACACAGAAACGATAAACGAACAAGAACGAACAACTCGGATGAATCTCTAAGAAAACGCGTAATGCTATTGTTCGACAATTCGGCTGAGGGTCAGTAGCTGATCCTTTGTATTATATACGTAAAAATTACAATTGATAGACTAGAATCTGATGCGAAACAATACAACAAAATAATGTAGTGTGATTAATAAATAATATTATGTGATAATATGTGCCATTATGTGTGCGTGTGTGTGCGTGGGTTTGTGTTAACTGATAAGGAAATTATATTTAATTATATTATTATAATTTATAACACATTCTTGCGATAAATTTAACGACTATGAAAAAATAATAGTAATAACTCACAAGTCGCAGCACAATGACTCACAGTCACAGACACAATTTTTTAAAGAAAATAATATTATAATATCTTCCTATATAAGTCATAGGATGACAGTCCACAGACGTTGAACAATAATAATAATATGGAATCTATGATAATATTATTATCTATAAATCTATGTCATTATTTTATTTTTTTTTTTTTTATCTAAGAAAAAAAATCCCTGTAAAAAACATCGCTATACGCCTATACCTATACCAAGGTGGATTGATATCAATCCACCTTGACCTATACCTAACTTAATAATAATATAAAATTTGAATGACAATTATTATTATAATATTGATAAAAAAGGTACATATTATTATAGTTTATAATATAGGTAATATTAAATATTGTATGATATTGCAATATAAATATTTATTTATTTAGTTATAAACGTGTAACGTGCCAGCCGCTTCTACTCAGTTTTGATTGCATTTTGAATAAAATAATAAGTTGATGGTATGATAGTTTATTTGTATTTTATTTAACAAGTAAAATAGTCTAAGTCCAAATAATTAATTTATAATAATGTGGTAAACGAGATGTGACTTAGTATCGACTTGGCGGCTTCTCTGCTGGTGCTCGTCTACTCGGCTGGTGTTCGTCTGATGGACACTAGTCCATCGACGTATTTCGTCAGTATTCCTAATAAATCCCTCCTATGGCATTTTTAGTATAGAAATGGTACACGCGCCGCATCTGCCTGAGGTCATTTCTGACGTCTTTTACGAAATTATGTTCTTTACGGATTATATGTTTCCAAAGTTATCTATTTGTACTGTTTACGGTTTTTTCGTCTTTCCTAAAATATGGATATTGCGCGCTTATACCTATCACGTGTCTTTATTGATGTGGCCGACATTAATTAGTTCTTTTTGATGTAGCCGCTCGGATGCTGATATTATTAGTTATTACTATTACCGGGGTTATACGCTCCCTGTAGCATTTACGTCAATTGTTGAACATAACATATATATATTAATATATTATAATCGTACTTAACCTAATACAATATAATATTTTATATATTATTACTATTATAAATATATACGTAGTCACAGCTCGTTACAAACGGATAAGTATACCATACCCTATTCGGGATTCCCTATGCCATAGGGCCTATGGTAATAAAAATTAAAAGTACAGTAATAGTTGAATGTTGAATCTCAATTTGACAAAATTGCTTAGATTTTCTTCAACAGTATCTTTTCTGATCGGAAAGTGAATCTAGTTGGTACTTTTGGCCTTTGGGGGTCAAAATTAAACATTTCCCATTTTCCCAGTAGTTTTCAAAACAAAAGAAAAATTAAGGAAAAACAGGAATTTTTACTCAAAATTTGTTTTCGAGAAAATTGATTTTTGGTTTTTGGTGGAACTCAAACACACGTAGGTACATGACATTTTGACTGAATGTTTATATCAGTATTTTCTATACGCCATAACATTTTCTAAATATTTTTGACTTATTTTGAGCTCTTTGAGGAGTGAGGACATGACTGACCGTTTTCGCTCAGAATCGTTTTTGTTTAAAATTAAAATCAGTCACACAAATTTTTTTTAATTCTAGTATTTAGTCATGTACTCACGTAAATACGTAATACAATTTTAGATTGGTGATGTTGTGTTAATGACATATGATTTCTATAGAAAATAAATATAAATTAATAATTTATTATAATATTATATATTTTAGATTCTGAGTGGAACCATGAATGTATTGATTTTACAATGATGTATGTTTTTTTTTATTTTTTTTTTGTGTCTGTCATCCTGTCATCAAGTTTTTTGGGCAGTAAAACTGCTTCGATTTTCTTCAAGAGTATCTTGTTCGATGGAAAAGTGATTCTAGTTGGTGCATTCGGGAGGTTAAGTATTAAAATTCCCAATAGTTTTCACGAGCGCCGGGAAATACAACATAAAAATTTAGGTAAAACGGGAATTTTTACGCAAAATCTGTTTTCGAGAACGCGGTGAAAAACAAAAGAAAAATTAAGAAAAACGGGAATTTTTCGAGTTTTTCTGTTTTCGAGTAAATCGATTTTGGTTTTTGGTGCAACTCTTAAACAAATGACCGTAGGTACATGAAATTTTGACTGAATGTTTATATTAGCATTTTCTATACACCGTAACATTTTCCAAACAAATTTTGACTTGTTTTGAGCTGTTTACGGACATTTTCAATTTCCATTTTTTTTAGTTTTTTTTTCCAAAAAAAATATCAAAAAAATGTTATTTGTTGGTTAAAAAAGCTTGGAAACTTAATAGAAGGCTCTTATAGTATAATGTTTCAAAGGCAGATGAAATAATTAGAAATCCTTAGTCACAATTTTTTTTTATAAGCATTTAAAGTTCAAATATTGACAAAATATTTGGAAATTCATAAATAATTTTCTTTTTAAATCTAAGATTTGAAAATGTAATATAAGATTCCTCATAAGCTTGTCTAACTTTATCAAAAAAAAATGTCTACAAGAAACTCAAATTAAATTTTTATGAGCATTTGAAATTCATATTTTTACAACTTTGATATTCACTCGATTTCTCATGTAACGATTTACATATTTTGTTATAATTAAAAAACGAATGACTGTAGATACTTGAAAATTTCACTGAATGTTTATTATAGCATTTCCTATACACCATACAATTTTGAAAATATTTTGACTCTTTTTGAGCTGTTAACAGACATTGTCAGTTTTCAATTTTTTTAATTTTTTTTTCAAGAAATATCAATAAAGTTTTATCTGTTGGGCCAAAAAGTGTAAAAATTGAATACAAGGCTCCTGATATATTTTATATTATCAGTTGAAAAATATTTAAAATACATAGGCACAATATTTTTAATAAGCATTTAAAGATCGAATTTTGGCAAAATTTATCAAATTTAAGATTGAATAATTATTTTGTATTTAAAAATGTATAAAATGTTCAACTTTTATATCTAAGGATTGAAAATTTGAAACAATATTCCACGTAAGCAGTTGATTCTGATTTTTGAAATCTCAAAAATACATAAGCAAATTTTATTTTTATAGTCATTTTAAGTTCAAATTTGGACGAAATTACATAATAAAAAAACCTAGAATAACTATTTTAGTTATTTTGTTGTGATTCTATAATTTTATTCGTGGGTAATTGAAACTTCTAAAGTACACTATTATATATCTATGATAGTATAAGGGTTTGTTGTTGATGTATAACGCGTTATAACTTATAAGTACCTAATGGATATTGTGATATGATTAATTTGGAATTTATTATAGGTACCCAGTGTTGTATAAAATAATTTTTAAAAGTATTTAAGTAATTTTAGTAATTACTCAAATACTCTAAAAATAAAGTATTTAAAACACCACCCAAATACTATAAATAGTAAAGTATTTGAGTAATACTCAAATACTTTTCAGAAGTATTTGAAATAATCTTAAAATACAAAAAAAAATTCTTTTTACTTTTTATAGTGCCGAAATAGTTTTTAATAATCAAAAATGTGTTTATTGCATTTTAAAAACATGATTTGTTCAATAATCATTGGGTACTAGGTTTAGGTATAAACCATACCTAATAGGTACCTAATTAGAACGCATTCCTTCTTGATGCATTTGTTCCATAGCTGTAGAGATGGAACTAAGACACCAAATATAACTGTCGTGAGTACCTACTACCTGCGTATCTTTCATTTATGTTTATAATGTGCATATTTGAATTGCATATCTATCAAAAATAAAAATAATCATAGTTAGTGAGTCTCTATAATCATACCTACATTATATATTTACACCTATACACACGATTAAAGATAGTATGGTTGCACAACGACCCATAATAAAGTGTTTCTTAGAGTTTCCTTGTTATCACAACGACCAGCAGAACCGAGCATTAGCGCTCCTAGCGTTTAAATATTGAATAATAATTGATAATATACTATCTTTAATCGTGTCATGAATAAACGTTATAAAAAATAAAATACGGAAATACAAATAATAAATTTATATTTTATAAATTATAATATTATTGTGTTGTTACATTACATAATTTTTATATTTTAATAAATAATAATTAAATAAAGTATAATATAATATAATATACTTACCTTTCAGTGTAAATTATAATTTAACTAGGTACCTACGAGTTTTGATAATTTTTTTTTAGTTTTATTTTGTTTTTTATTCATTTGATTTTTAATATATGTATACTGCCTCATTCTCATTATAACAAATGTGCTACATATATCTGTGAGAATATCAGTTTGGTGCACATTACATTCAAATGTCAAAGGATTATGAGTACTAAGGAAATCTGACAATGTTTCATTAAATACATCAATAGAGCCAGCATGTTTCACAAAACTTAACTCTAAACTTCTCAAAATGAGAAATAAATTTTTATTAGGATGTGTTAAATATCCTCTTGACTTTAAATTAACAAGTTCTGCTTCTGGAGATGAACTGCTATTTAAATTTTTTAAGCCAGCTATACATAATTCACACTTTGTTTTTTTTAAGAGTTTTCTAGCTATATATCTGGAAATTATTAAATAAAATATTGTACAATCTTATTTTCTATTAAATATTATTAATATTAGTTTAAGATCAAAGAAGATTTAGTACCCTGATAAATAGTAAACTGTACAGTTAAAACTAGGAGATTCCAAAAGTGATGAATGACATAGCTCTGGTGTTACAATATCTTCTAACTCGCCAATATCATTTTCAATTATTTGATCAATTTTAGCTTTCAACTGATCTATTTTATTTTCTCTAATCGAAGAATTTAATGGGTCATTAATAATTTCTTTAAAATCATTTACAGAAATAGCAGGTTCATTTTCTGAAATAAAATATTTTTGTGTATAGGTTTGGTTAGGTAAATTTAAAACTAATTACATACCTGAATAAACAGTACAGTTACCAGCTTTTGGAGGTTTAATTAGAGAATTAATTGAAAGCATCCTATACAACTGTAAAAATGTGGGTGTTGTCGGGTGGTCATTTGGGCCAGATATTTGTCTGATGATACCAAAAAACTTCTGTATAATGTTTTTTATATAATTAATATAAATAATAAAATTAATATATTAGGTATATTTAATAAATAATATTATTTAAAATTTAGTACTTCCAAACAATCTTGATTTATTTTTGCTGTTAAGACATAATTAAATCCATAATCGTTTAATAAAACATTAACCAAGTCAATAGTTGATTGTAATGTAATTTTTAGCCCTTCTGCTGTCTGTTTGGTTAAAAACTCAGCATCACAAATAAGGTTATTCTTCAAATTACATTCCCATTCTTTTATCCATCGTAGACTTTCTTTTAAAATCTACAAATATAAAATGTATTAATACTGTTACAATTATGTTAAAATATGTCGAAACACAAAACTAACACAAGTTAGGTTTTTATGTCAAAAATAATACAACAAATATGAAAAAACATGTACACAATACTTTGTTAGGTAGATATCCATCTAGATATTCTATGAAAATGTTCATAATATAGTTTTTATAATTAATTAACATTTAGATATTAATATTATAACAGAGTAAATAAATAAAACAATATTCAAAAACAAACAAGCATGCAGTTAACAATTCAGACAACAACACAAATACACTTAGAAAACCTCTATGTCTTCGGAATTTTTTTTAATTCCTTCAGCGGGGAATTTTCGGTTTAGGGCATCAAACATCCTATTCATTATCAAAGTAAATTTGATAGTTTCTTCACTATTTTCAAATCCTAAAAAGTTTTTATTTTTATAGAACTGAATTCCTGCAGCCATAGACTCACTGAATAACTAAAATTAATCATAAATCATTTTAAATTACAATTATTTCATCCCTAAAAAATTGTAAGTCATCATAAAAGTTATTATTTAGCAGTCTTTCATACAATTTCACATAAACTTTATTATTATTATAATTATCTTCATTAAACAATATTTGTTATGTAGGTACTAATAGGTATAAATGGTACATTCAGGTACTTACCTGAACAGCATATTTAACCTTCATTTTTAATAAGTTATTTAATTCAAAATGGTGTTTAGTTAGTTTAGGACAAACTTTTGTTAAAGAATTTTCTTCATACTTATACACTTTATAATAATGATCCCACTTAATGAGTGGTTTTGATGGATGTATCTGAAATGTATAGATACATTTGATTGTGATATGATTAAACATACTAAGTACTTTAATCTTGTATTTAAATTTAAATTTTAAATACCCTTAATTGTTTTTTCTCAAATAATCGATTACGAATTGTTTTCATTAAATGAGGTGGATCAGAAAATACAAATATCTTGCGAGATGAGTCAAATGGATTCTCAAAATAGTTCTTAAAATCTTCCTCACTAGTACTTATTCCCAGTAGCTTCCACATTGTACGATTTGTCGTAGCTCCATCATTTGTTAAACCAACTACTTTACCACCAATATTTTCTAACAATAATATAGATTTAGTAACTAATTTTGCCAGATCAGCACCTATAAAATCAAAATAAATCATGTATTATATTAATTAATATTTATTTTTTTGTAAATTATTGATACCATACCTTTGACTGAACCTTTGGAAGCAAATACTGCTATAGGCTGAGTAAAGTTGTCGGCTAGGCTTCTCCACATCAGCACTAAACCGTGGTTTGCTTTTTCAGAACTGGTAGTTTTGTGATTTATTTCATTCCCAAAATCTTCCAATCCAGTATATGTTAATGTTCTAGTATTAACATTTATACTTTCTCTTAGAAAAATTTCATCTAAAGAAAGTATTCCAACTTTCTGAGTATCAGACTTCTTTGCAAAATTTTTTTTCAACAGTTTAAAAAAGTTAGGATCAAATCCGCAACCAACTTTAACAGCTAAAAGGTTTTTTCTTATAGTGTTAACGCATGGCAAAGGTAATATTTTTTGGTCTCTCAAAAACCTGTATCCACTTGGTGACCTAATTAAAATTAAATAAAAATGTCTTCAGCTTACTAACTGTGTGGCAAAAAGATTTATTAACTATATACAAAATAGTACTTATTATTACAAACCTGATTTGAAATAAGAGACATAGAAGCATCCAATTTTCATTATATTTCCTATTTTTAGCATTTTTCAATCTTGCTGCTGAGAATATTTCATGAATTAGTTCTGATTGACACTTAGAAATTCCAGCATTTACCAATATTTCTGAAAGGTTTGAATCATTAATTTTTTTCATTTCATTTTTACAGTTAATCAAGTTTTTCTGTAATTTATTTATTTTTTTTTTTGCCCTGCAACACTTCACTAATAATATTTTTTTGGCTTTTTGAATATTATTTAGTACTCTTTTTTTGTTGGGAGAAAAAAAAGTTCTTGTCAATTTTCCATTTGAATTCCGTGCTGCCTTCTTTTTAATACAGAACAGAAGCCGCTTGCACCATACACACATTTCACTAAACCAATTATATATAACATAAGCTTTGGTTATATTTGATATTTTGATAAATATTTTATGATAGTATTACTATAGGTAGGCTGATATTTATAAAATTTAGTATTTTTAAATTAAAATTACCTCTCATTTTCTTGTAAGACGTTTAAGCAGTTAATATGATGCCATTGACCACAGTTATCTACATACTGTTTGTTTCCGGACACTACATTTATATTTGATAACTCATTGGAGGATATTGCTCCAGTACAAATTTTTATTTGATCAAATTTACTGATGGTATTTTCAAGATCTTGTGAAGAGTTAAGTAAATTATTAGAAGATATCCCAATGTCAGATAACGTAACTTGTTTACCATAAATAAATAATATAATAGTCAAATCTATAAAATAATTAAAATTATATTATTTATTAAAATGTCTGAAGAATGTATATTATTTTACCTTCGATTAACACAAGTTGTTTTTCAATAAACTTCACATAATTTTTTGAAAAAGAGCTTAGTTTTTGAAACGAAATTGCTTTTTTAATAGTAGTACTATGATTATCAGACATATCCATATCAATAAACCATTTTAGTGGTACTTTAACTCGGTCATTTAAAACAGTATAAAAAAGTGATGTGCTTTGTAGCCCAGGTGCTATATTGCCAGTGTTGCAACTATCAAGCTGGAAATAAAAATAATATACCATTAATTAGTTAACAAAAAAGTTACCAAATTATTTATATAAATTATAAAACATATACTTTCATTTTTTTCTTTGCTGGAGAAACTGAACTATAACAATGGTCATGTTTTATGCTGAAGTCCTTATAGCTTATGATCTACAACAATTATAACAAAAATCACTAGTATATTAATTTTTTATTCAAAAGCAATATAATATTATTACTGATAATTTATTATGTTCAGATTCGTCCAATATTAAGTTGTTGTTTGCTAGGAAAGGAATGGCACCTTGTCGTAGTTTTGGTATTTTCATACAAATCTATAATTTACGTTTAAGATATAAAAACAATGTTTACTTACATAATATATAGTATATACTAACATATTATATACTTACAGAATATTTTGAAAGCCCTTGTCCTGAAACCCAAGTTCTAATTATATCAGTTTCATGAAAATGTGCAGCACACACTCGAAACTTGCTTTTAAGAAAAATACCAAGAATGTTTTCCCATTGCTTCTTTAATACTTCATTTTTTGGCACACCAAAAGTAGATTTTTCCTTACCAGCAGTACAATTAGGGACACAGCACTTCATTTTGATGATATGTGACTACCGGGATTGAAGATAGTATACACTATAATGTAGAATAAATACTTTAAACCAAACTTTACAATTACAATTACGTAGGTAGTAGGTACCATGTAATCACGAATGTAAAAATCGTTGAAAAAATCGTATTTTTAATCGTGTATGTACTATTTTGCATTTTCGCGGGAAAATAATGTGCATATTATTACAGAAGAATCTTGATTTCTGATGCGTAGTACATAATTTATACCCTATGAGCGCTAGTAAAAGTTTCTAGAGTATCGTTGATAATAAAAGAAACTATGAGCATCATTAAATTGTTTCTTATCATAGTTCGTTGTGCAACCATTCTATCTTTAATCGTGCCTATACAGAAGCTTTTATTTTAATATTTATGACTACCAATGGTACATTTATTGACTGGTAATTATTTCTATTGACGTTGAGGTAACTTATAAATTAGGCTATGATTATATAATATTTTAGAGGTATTTAGTCTTTAAATTTTAAACAAACGATAAAATGTAATACTAAATATAAACCTAAGGGGTCAAAGATATGAGGGCTATATAACATAATATCGTGCATTCGATCTTTTATTAATTATAAAATTTTTAAATTAACAAACATAACCCACAGGCCACAGATTGAGGATTTAACATAATATGTTGAATTTCATTTTATATATATATAATATATTAATATGTACAATATACATATCATTATATTTAGGATAAAATTACACTGTAATGTACCCATATAGGACTTATGGGTACCTTACAGTATGTAAAAAAAGCTCAACTTTTCCACCTAGAACATTTTGAGTAAGTAGGTACCTACATAAAAAAATCAAGAATACAATAAACATAATTAGAACACTTGACATCTAACATCCAAAATGAATAAAACAGTAAATTTATTATAAAATATTTGAAATACAAATATAATATATGTATATATATAGATTATAGGTAGGTATTTTATTAAAAATGACAAATATGTAGGTAATAATTTACCTTACGCTCGATACTTATAGCAGATTTCCAAGATAGCGACGAAATTCGTCGATTGGTGAATTTTCGAGTACTTTGGTTAAGGGGATTGGAAGCGGCGATTTTCTGTCTTTATCTAACACACGTGGAACATAGGATTATAGACGTGTTCTATGTCCAACGTACCGATTAATCTAATGAAGCGATAAGAATTCTGAAAACAGATTTGAATTTGTCGTCAAGTCTACTTGAGATCGACTTTCCCA